AAAGAGTACAGTTTTACCATAGCGCCTCCTATAATTCAATGCTGGAAGTCACAAATTCTTCTTGGCCTTTTGGTGGGTACAAGGAGGGCCAGCTTTATGGGCATGTGACCTGTGCAGCTGCAAACCTGCTCTTAGCAGAGCTCCATGCTTGGTTTAATGCTCTGTTGTTGCTATCTTGAAATTCTTAATTTTAAACCTTTTCATTTTGTACTGGGACCTGCACATTAGGTAGTCGATCCTGGGTACAAGGACCATCATTCTTCTAATCAAACAATCAGTAACTGCTTAATAGTGTCTTGCACTATTACTGATGTCTACTTGAAGGAATCTAGAAATTGCCACAGAAGTTGATACCTCCCGATAACAGGTAATATTAAGGCTACAAGTTTTAGAATATTCACAGAATCCAAAACAATGTATACTTGGATACTAAGTTTGAATTGCATGACATTGCATTCCACAAATATTTTCTGAGCACTCGAGAAATGTGGGACACAGCGCAACGGAGGAACAGATTAGAGGCCTGTATAGTGAACAATGTGGAGAGTGTTTGTAGACGAGTTTGGAGGGGTATGCAAAAGCCAGATCAGGCATGGCCTTTTGAGTCATGTGTATGTTGGACACAGATTTTATGTGCCTTCTCAGATTTCTTCCTGGACTGTTAGCTACTGGTTTCACTTCACCCACTGCTACAACTACTTGACTCCTCTTGGGCCTCTGTCTGAGGCTTACTTGTTTCTTGCCCTAATAGTTTTAAATCCTCCTCCTTTGTCATTGTCACACAGCCATACACATGTGGAGTTTGGGGCTCCTTCTGTCCTTTCTGCACTTGGAGAAAACTCAGACTTGGGATGTGGGATCTGGCACCTAGATAACCTGTCAAAGGGGAAAATGACACAACCTAAAGAGCAGGGAAATTTTGGGCCAGTGGGGAAAATACAGAGGGAGCTAAGCAGATAAATATCCTCTCTCTTCCCCAGCCCAGGGACTGTCATAGGACAGTTTTTTCTTGCAGTTCACCTTGTTGGAGGTATGGATATACATTGACTCTTGGGAAAGCAAATGGCTTGGATGGAAAATTAGAAGGTCTAGGGGGGAGGTCCATGGTTAAATATAAAGGAATGGGCCCAAAAGATGGATCTTTGTGTTTCATCTTAAGGCCGATGAGAATGTATCTAGTGCAGAAGATACATTCAACAATAGGAGGACAAGTTGATCCAGCCCATGAATGTCAGCCAGACTCTATCCTCAGCCACCTCAGAGCTTTCCTAAAAGGCCCAGAACAGAGAGGCTATGGTGGCAAGGATGACTTCTGTATTGACTCAACAGCCTGAGTTTCCCTTCACTAAAGTTGACTAATTCTGTTCTTGTCTGTATTTATATTTGCTTTTAATTTCTTTTAAAAGTTTACTTTAAAAATGAGTAAATCAGGTAAAGTGTTTAAAACAGTGTAGAGCACTTAATGCTGTCAATTGTCCTAGCTTGGGTTCCCTGAAAACAGTTTGAGGCAAAAGCTGAGGTGTTATCACATTATTAGTAAGTGTAGTCTTGGGGAAGGAAGATGGAAGAATGAAGTGAGGCAAGAAAGGAAGGCAAATATATGGAAGTACTGTATATTATTGCACTACTGAATGCTAACGTGCCAGCAACAGAGCCGAACATGGCTTTTTCTTTAGAATTCCAGCCAGCTCCCTGGCGCAAGGTTGGTTACATTCCATTTTGGAGAGGGTTGTGATTCTGGATAAGAGTTTGCCTTTCCTGCCCATAGTTTTTCTGCTAGCTTCATCAATTGAGGGTTCACAGGATGTCTCACCTATGACAACATTGCCTTGAAGTAGGGAACTCATTTTATGGCAAAGATGATGAGACAATGGGTGAAACAGCAAAATATTTACAGGTGCTACTTACTATGTTATGAGTCTTACCTTATGAGAATCAGCTGTCCAGATAGAATGGTGTAATGGCCTATTGAAGACTTAGGAAAGGCATAAGCTTAGGCTCAACATCCTACAGATTGAGGTGCTGATCTCCAGGTTAAGGTATATGAGCTGAATCAACAGATGACTTATGATAGTTGTGCTCATGAGCTAGAAAACATGGACCTAGGAACTAAGGAGAGAAAGTAGCATTGGCTCCCTCTCCATCACTTGTAGAATGTGCTATTTCTAAAACTTTAGGGTCTTATGGCTTGGAGACCCCGGCTTCCAGGATGGGAGGATGTCAACTGTGGCAATTGTCTTTTTACAAGCTTGGGCTCTTTATAAGCCAGTGAACTTGCAGGCAAAGAATACTGTACAGACATACCTATTTGCCATGAACATCTCAGGTTGCTGCTACACAGCAGAGGCAGGATTTTGTTTGAAACCCGAGATCTTACTGGGGCACCTCTTGTTGCTCTTGTTCCTGTTATGTCTGCAAATGGATAATTTCTGCAAATATGGCTGTCACTCAGATTAACAGAAATTCTGGCCAAGAGTGTGGAAAATATATATAGGTATAGAGGAGGAAAATGGTAGGCCTGTATTATAGCTTGGACTCCAGCTGGGGTTGCTGACCATTTTGTTGTCTTCTAAGGAGGTCACAGCATCCACTACCTTAGATTGGTCTTGTATCTCTCCTGTCAGGGGAGAAGTCCCAGATATAAGTGAATACAAGTGGGTCTGAATACAGCAAGGGCTGAATTGGCTAGATTTAGTTTACACACTGTCCAGAGCCACACACATACATTGTATCCTGGCCAGAGTGGCCCTAACAATAGCTCTTGCTATTAAGTGGTTTGTAGAGACAGCTGCCTTCCCTGCTCCTACAGTCTGAAGTCCTCATTGCCATGGTGGCTGCTCTGGGATCTTCAGCTCTTAGTTTAATTCTACTGTAATTAGAGAACATACTTTTTATGCTTTCAGTCTTCGTAATGAGACTTTCAGGTACAGTGTGAAGCCAATTATTTATTGAAAAATGTATATTCTGAAGTTTTAGGGAACAGTGATCTATATATCATTTAGATCAAATTTATAGATCATGTTTTCCAAGTCTCATGTATGTATGTTGACTTTTTTTGACTGCTTTTTACATCAGTTAGTGAGAGATATGTGTTTAAAATCTTCTATAATTTTGGATTTGTCTAATTCTCCTTTAAGTTTGTTTTTTAATTTATGTATTTTGAGGCTGGTTATTAAGCTGACATTTAGGATTGTTATAGCTCCCTGTGATGTTGACACTTTTATCATTATGAAATGTCCCTATTTATGTCTCTCTGATGCTTTTTGCATTAGTAGCTATTTTTTTCTGATATTAATATTTCTACACGGCTATCTTATGGTTTAAGTTTTCTTTTTTTGCCTTTTTAAGATTTAATCAAGTGTTTTAAAAATATTTTTCTATTTTCCCTTTAGTTGTTAGTTATACAACATGATTATTTCTTTAGTGAATATTGTAATGAAGGTGACATACAACTTTTATTTTCTACTATAAATTCATTCTTTTACCACTTCATAGACATTAGAAGAACGTTATAATTCTTTAACTCTTTGTTATCCTCCCCTCTTGAATTCTCTTTATTTTTTAAATTTCGCAAGACATTACTATTACTGTTTTGAACAATAATAACATTGAATTTTACTCACATATTTACCCTTTCTAGTGGTACTATTCATTTCCTTTTGCTTTATTGTGGGATCATTTTCTTTTTATTGAAGAAACTAATATTTCTTCTCATGTGGGTCTGCTGGATACAATGTATATCAGTTTTTGTATATCTAAAAATGTCTTTATTTTTCTTCATTTCTTAAGAATATTTCCACCATGTATAAAATTCTGGATTTAGAGTTATTCATGTTAAAGATGTAATTCCATTTTCTTGTTTTCATTGTTTCACTTGAGAAGTCAGCTTATGATATTGTTGAAGTTTGAATATTTTTTCTCCGATTTTAAGATTTCCCTTTTATCTTTTGTTTTCAGCAGTTTTACTAATATTTTCTTAAATTGTGATTTTATTTATCTTGTTTAGGGTTAGTAGAGCTTTTAAATCAATGGCTTGATACCTTTTCTCAAAAACTTCTTGCCTCTGCCACGTTTTCTCAGTGGTCTCCTTGTTGAAGTCCAATTATTCCAATTACTATGTTAGACTCTTTTACCTTTTCCATATAACTATCATACTTTAAAAAAAATTTCAATCTTTTTCTGTGCTTCAGTTTTGTTTTTTACTTATTTTTAAGGAAAAACAGCATCAGAACACTCAAGATCAACATTAATGAAGAATAGTTACCTCATTTCTATTTGATTTTTTTACAGGAACTTTTTGCCAAGATTACTGAGACTAGTACTTTCTATGACTCTTAAAGTCTTTGAGGGAGGCAATAACCCCTCAGAACATACATTCGCTCCCATCATTTAGATACAACTCTCCGTGAATAACACACAAGGGGAATATTGTGTTTTGTTAGGAACTTTATGGAGCATTAGTCACAATTTTTGAAAATCACAACTACACTACTCTGCTCACAGTATTTTGTTTCTTTATATGACTCAATTATATTTTGTCAGCAATACAACACATTGTATGTGTGTTTAAGAAGGTTCTACAGGTAGGTGCAAACATCTGATCACTTCGTTGATTTACATTTCATAATGAAACAATATTATTTTTACAAATTTCTTTTATTTCTTAAACTTGGAATATTGCCGTGTATATTGATTTAAGAATTATATGTATAGGTACTAATTTTAGCTCGATAATTATTTCAGAATTTTTGTTATAAAAAGAGAGGTCCCAGGAGTCAGATTAAGATCTTGGGTAGAATAGCGATGTTTGCTAAGATAGATTTCAATAGACAAACTTAACACAAGTCTTTTTATTACTATTATAATTTATTATTACCTAAAACAGTTATTATTGTTACATAAAGCCGTTTTAGGCAACCACCACTGATTGCCTCCAGGCCGGGAACCTTTGCGCCCTCAGTCAGAGAAGGTCCTAAACAGTCCTGGTCGAGACCCCCACCGGAACCTTGGTGCGGTAACGCCAATTTCCGGCGGGCTCCTTAGAGTGGTGAACAGCTTTGGGCCGAAGGACCATGAGAGGGCCGGAGCCGGGTCCCGAACCTACGATGGAGGGGGACGTGCTGGACACGCTAGAGGCGCTGGGGTGAGTGTTCCTGGGGCCGTCTTTTCCCCCTAAATGTAAGCTTTCCCTCGGCTTGGCTGCTGCAGTCTCTTCCCCATGGGTCTACTCTGGGCTCGGGCAGCTCGGTGCAGGCCTGTTTCTCTGCCTCACTCCCTCCGGCGCCGACGGAGTTAAGAGGGAGGTGGGAGAGAAATCCTTTTGCGGGGTTGGGGGTGGAGTAGGGCCGGAGAGCTGGGGCGCGCGGCCCCCTCTCCCAAACTCCTCGCCTCGGAATTCCGCAGCGGGTACTGGCGGCAATGGCGCGGAGCAGCCAGGCTAGCTTCAGTCCTCCGGAGAAGCATGTCCCTACCCCGCGGGTGGTATTTTTGTTGACGTAGTTGTCGCGCCCAGGGGGAGGTGCTGGAACTCTGGACTGCGGCCAGGGACTGTTGGCTGCTGTGGTGTACAACCTGTGGCTTAATTAGGGCTCGGGAGCGAATCTCTCTTGCTTCCTTGACCGAAGAAAATGTTTTAGTTCAGTGCTAGTCCATTCATTCAACTATTTCGTTCACGCGTTAACATATTTACTTGATATTAATAGATATTCATTAATGCATATTTGTGTGCTAGACAGAGGAAAGAATTTCAGGTTACTAGTAGTTTACATAGTCGTGGGGGCTACAAAGAGTGTGCTGGTATTTACAATTTAGAGTGGGAAGTGCTATGAGAACTCCTGGGATGGTGGTAATACTTCTAGGTATGGGGAGCAATAAATGCAACGTGGTCTCTCAGCTTTATCTTATTTTACCTCACAGCCATTGTTCTTATCCCAAATTAGCTTGTCCTGCGCATTTGTCCCTTTAATGCTCCCACCCTACTCCCGCCCCCAGCCCCAGTCAGCTCCAGAAAACAGGTGTCTTACCTGTCTTGTTACCAGCACCATTCTATAGTGGTGTCTGACACAATAAATAGTGGCTGAATGAATGGGTAAATGAATGAAGAAAAGTTCAAAGAAGAGAGTGCACGGAGGTAAGCATAGGGCCAGATAGTTGAGAGTCACAAAATACACGTTAAGAGATTTGAGCCATCTGGCACAATTGTTTGCTTTGTCACACGCTGGAGTTTCTTGAATGGAATAGTGTGAAGCTTGAAACTCCCACTCCCCCCTTTTTTACCCCTAAAGCTGCACTTGTTACTCTATGAACTGATTCTTTTGGACCCTGATGATACTTTGCAGTGACCCAGTGTTATAGAGCCTTGCACTTAGTAGATCCAGAATAAGTGTTTGCCAAATGAAAGAACAGAGCCATCAGTTATTTAGGGGGCATTTTCACTTTTGTGATATCCCTTGGAGATTTTCAGTTAACTTGGTTAAGGAAGTAACCAAAGCAAGAAGTTAAAATAATTAATTGAAGTGTTTAGGCCTCAAACAGTTTGAGCACCTAAGTACTCCAGATAAGAATAGTGGGATTCTGTAAATAGTTAATGAAAAAGGTTAAATCAGTGCTTTTTTTCTTCATTCCTCGAATTTTTTTATATTATAGATGTTTTGAAAAATAAAGTTTGCTGTAATTTTTGCTTTAATCAAGGAGAACTAGTTTCAGATTATTTAATATGAAAAGTGTAACAGTTTGCATACTTTAGAGTTGATTTTTTGCCTAGAATAACTAAAGACAAGATTTGAAAGTTTAAATTTTCCTTTAATGATAATGAAATGTGAAAAAAGAGCAGTTGTTTACTTACAGTATGTTATAACTGAACACTTTAAAAATACTGTCCATGTACATTGTGAATAATGCATTTTCTATTGTGATTAAAACATTTAGGATATCAGAGAAGATACTTTAGTTTGTTAGATAAATAGAAATGAAAGGGAAGAATTAAAAAGAGAAATCTCTGTGAAAGAACAATTTAGTGATATAGTATTATTATAAATGAAAACAAAGTAGAAATAACTTAGTTTCCTCATCTGTGAAAGGAGCAGACTGGAACAGATTATTTCAGAAGTCTCTTTCAGTTCCGACAGTCTGTGATTTTATAGAACAATGGATCTCAACCCTGATTGTGCATCAAAATCATGTATGAAGCTTGCAAAAAATGTTCTAGTCTGGTATATACTACAAACTGAATCATGATCTTCAGTGGTGTTCTGTAGGCCTGCATGTTTTTAAAAAGCTTCACAGACTAGGTTGAGGACCACCATTATGGAGAGAAGTTTATTTCATATATTTATTGAACACAACTCTATATTGGACGTTGTTCGGTGAAATCAGTAGTGAGCAAAATAGACTTAGTCCCTGTCCCTGTGGAGCTTACAATTTAGTGGAGAGACATGATTACACAAACATTTATTAACTATAATAAGTGATTTAAAGGAAAATAACAGGGTGGCATAACAGGATAAGAGGACCTATGTAGTTTTATGTGTTAGTGATAGATTCCTGAGGAAGTGACATTTGTGTTGAAATAGGAATAGTAAATAGGAGTTAACTAGGTGAGGTTGGATAGGAAAGGAGGATAAAGGTATCCTTATAGTGAGAACAAAATATGAAAAACCTTGAACTGGAAAAGAGCATGCTGTATTAGAATATCTGGAAGGAGACCGATGTGGCTGGAGGTCAGAGCAAAGACCAGAGTGTTGGCAGATTGGATTGGAGAGTTAGATGAGGACCAGAACGTGCAGCACCTTTTAGACTGTGTTGTAGATTTTGTTTTTTGTCATAACAGTGGGACATGATTGAAGGATTTTAAATAAAAAGGAGTTATTAGATGTTTAGTTAGAAAAGTGACCTCTGTCAGCAAGGTGCAGAGTAGATTGGAGAATTTAGTTAGTAATCTAACCAAGAAGTGATGGTTGCTTAGTGGCAGTGGACATGGAAAGAAGTATATTACAGGACTTAGTGATTGATTGGATATTAGAGCTGAAGGAGATAACAATATTAAGGATTCGTTTCTTCAGTAGGTATTTATTGAGCACCAAAATGAAATGATACTCCTTGGAATATAAATTGAAGGAAAGAAAGTAAAGACAGCAGGGAACTAGTGAATACAGAAAATATAGAGAGACCAATGGAATGGAGGTAAGGATGATAACAGAGTATAAGTGAGTGGTCAGAAGAGCAAGCTGGAAGGATAAATGTAGGTTGTGGTTGAGGAGTGACATGTTTGAATTAGTGATTTCAGAGATGGCGTATTTCTAGGTGATGGCAAGGTCCAGGGGGTGGTTCACGGACAGGTGGCAAAAGTTAGAAAAGAGGAAATTACAGAGTCGAGAGCTCAGGGTATTGGATAGGGTATATATGTAGACTTTGAAGAAACTTAATATAATACCAAAAATGGGAATGGAAAGGGAAACTGAGCACAGGGAATGTTGAGGAATATCCAAGAGGTTGATAGATGAAAATCACAAGAGAAAGAGCGTGGCAAATCTGACTGTCCTGAGCCTGGAGAGAACAGAAGATATTTGTAAGATAATGGGGGAGCAATGATATGAATGCTGTATTGGGAATCAAGGAAGACAAACCCATATGCTCTTATGGAACTTGAGAGAGTAAAATAGCCAAAGCTAGAGGTGGTAGGAATAACCTTTTTGAGAACAGATTGGCGATATAGGAGTTGTTCATGGATGGAACATAATGGAAGAGTTTGGGAAACAGGGAGAAGTAGAGAGCTGGATCAGAGGCAAGCCACTAGGGTGGGTAAATGATAGGGGGAGAGGAAGGATCTCATATTTTTATATGTCGGCTAATGAAAATAGAATACAAAGTAAATTAGGCCCTGGCTGTATCTTTGTGGGGGTTTGCCAATGGCCCTAACACACTGAAGATTGGATCACCCATCTTGAAGTAGTGTCAGACCAGCAGCTATGGTTCCAGTGTATGGAGAACTTCTGGGGGACTCTGGGTCTAGGGGCGGTATCCTTAGTGTTTGAATAAGAGTAGTATTTTCCTAATTAAATAAAAATTTATAGGACAAACTAAGAGCATAATACTAATACCTGTCTTTTAGGACATTGTGGTAATTAAATGAGGTAATATACATAAGGCACATAGCACTGGCCTAAGAGCAGTTCATAATGTTAGTTGCTATAATGATTGTTTTTAGATGTTAGGTTTGTTAAGTGTATTTCTTTTTTCTTTTTTACCTGATTTGGTGAGGTGAGGCATTAAGGATTGTGGGGTTTCTTCTCCTCTAAATTTAGTATTTTTTGGTGATTTAATCAATTTTTGTTGGATTTTATAGTTGGTATTTTAGTAAAAATAACTTAAAAACTATGTGAATTAAATTCAAGGGTTTATGATAATTGCAGAAATGAAAGCAAGTTGGAGGAAATAAGATGTTTACTATTAAATCTCAATGAAAGGCATTGTAAGACATGGAGGAAAAGTAACACATAGAGGAACCAGTCTTGACTGGAGTTGCAGAGACAGCAGTCTAGTCCCAGTTCTGCCTTTACTTGGCTGCATTACTTGGCCAGGTTATTTGCTTAGATTTAAATCAGCATGTCATCATTTATTTTCTAATCCTACAGAATTAGGATAGTATTAACTTCAAAGCATTGTTGTAAAGATTAAATGAATTATAAATAGCAGGTATCCTAACATCGTTAACTCTTAATTTCTTATGTGCAAAATGGAGATTTGAAAATACCTTCATTAGATATGACCAGAGAATTCAGAGAAAAAAAATGCAAATGGCCTTAAACATATGAAAAGATAGTCTTATTCATGGGAGAAATGTAAATTAAAACTATATACTGAGATACTAAATGGTCATAAATCCAGATGTTTGACAACTTTGAGTTATGGGGGAATAGGTGAGTACTCTTATACCTTTATGGTACCACCCCTGTAGAGCAAAATTTAATAGTATCTAGCAAAGTTACATATTCACTTACCCTTTACCCTAACAATTCCATCTCTAGGAAGCTATCCCAGATACACACTGACAAAAATTTGCCAAATTTCTTAATATAGAAAAGCATTGCACACAACCCAAATGTCCTTCAGTGGGGCCATAGTGAATAAAATATGGTGTATCTAGGCGGTGGAGTACTATACAACAATAAAGGTGGAGTAGTAGCTCTATTGATCTCTAGTACACATAAATATGTGTATGTAAGTGTGTGTATATTTAAAACAATGAATAGAACAGTATATAGTAGGCTACCTTTTATCTAAATAAAGGAAAAGTATTTATATGTTTATATTTAAAAATGTTATGGAATGACAAACCACAACCAATAAATATAATTACCTATGGGGGAGAGATAGAACAGAGTAGAGGGAACAAGATTAAGATTGTAAACTAGATTTGTCTGAATGTACCTTGTTTTGTGAATTAGACTTTGAAACCATATAGATGTTTTTCATAATTATAAGACATAATTAAATAAGAAAATCAGAACAAAAAATTAAAAGCAAAATGAAACAAAGGTCTTTGAATATGTTGAGTAGGTATTTAATCACATGGGAAGGAATCGTTTTTTTACACATCCAACTGGAATATATTCTAAAGATAAAAACATTGTTTTTAGTAACATTGGTGTTAGTAATAATTTTGGTTTTCCTATTTTGAAACTATATGTAATTTACATTTATTTTTACTAAGATTATGTAAATATCATTAGAAACCAGAATTTTCATTGTAAGAGAAAATAGATAACAATGTAAGACGAATAAATTTAAACCCCTCCCACAAACCCACAGTTCTAAATTTGAATAGGAAATAGCAATGTGAACTTCTGATGTAATTTCTCTTAAAAAGGTACAGATACAGTAACTAACCTTTAGTACCAGGTTGAGTACTCTTAACTACCATTAAAAAGAATCAAGGTTTCGTGGAGAAATGCTGATTACCGGTGTTAGGGCGGGAACATCTTGTCATAGAAAGCAGGGAAAGTTTTCAAAGAATACTGGGGATAAATCAGAGGTCTCATTGGCTAACATGAATGGCCTCCCACTAACCAGAGATAGGGCAGTTTGAATATCAAAAGAAAAATAACTGCAATGGATTAAAACCTATCAAGTATGTTAAAATATTTGTTTATAATGTGAAAAAAGTTCAGTTGCAGAAAGAACAACAAAAGTAGAAAGCTGGCATCTAATCCAACTAAGATAATATATAAAATGATTTAAAAATTTAAGGTTCTATTCAAATATACTTTGTGGCACTGTTTTAAAAGTATAAAATTATAAATGAGTTAGGTTAAAATGATCTCATAGGTCTTTTTCAGCTTTAATTTTTTTAATTTAAAATTTGCCTGATCTCTTTTCACTACATTTCCTTTTTTTATTCTTCTAACTAGTGTAGTTATTAGACTGCTCTTTTTGACTTTGTGTTATATGTAATTCTCTTAAAATTGGTTGATAATTTTACTTTTTAAAATGTTAAAATATAGGAAAAAAAGCCAAATGTAAACTATATAGAGCAGAAATTGGCAAACTATTTCTATAATAGACCAGATAGTAAAAACTTTAGATTTTCCTGGCCATAATGTGTCTGTCACAACTGCTCAACTTTGCCATTGCAGTATGAAAGCACCTGGAGACAGTCTGTAAATGGATACATTTTTTGGCTGTGTTCCAATAAAACTTTATTTACAGAAACAGGCAGTAGGCTATGATAAAGACTATTAGGGTTTCTTTTTTTTTTTTTTCTCCTTGTTTTAACCTTTTATGTCTTCCTTTCTAGGTATAGGGGACCACTGTTAGAAGAGCAAGCCCTTACCAAGGCAGCTGAGGATGGACTATCTTCACCTGAATTTTCAGAGCTCTGTGTTTGGTTAGGCTCTCAAATAAAATCATTGTGCAACTTGGAAGAAAGTATCACTTCAGCTGGTATTGGCATTGTGTTTTATTTACTTTTCTGTTTAATAGTAAAATGAAATGATAGCTTATAATTTACAGTTTCATCTGTAGTATGCCCACAGTACAAAGAAAAATCAGTATGAAGAACTTCAGTATGTTATATTAAATATCTTTGGAGTACATTTTAACCCAAAATTCTTAAATTTGTATGAAATTATAAACAATTACTGTTTATCTGTTGTCTTAACCTTAGTATTGTTCTTTAGAAAAAGTAGAGTCTGAATTTGGTTATTCAAAAAGTTTAATTTTTGAATACTGCTTATTTTGAATTAAAAGTCCTTTTTTTGTTTGTTTTTTAAAGTACATGTAATCCCTAGTTTAAATTGTATTACTAAACCTGTAACTCAGGACATGGATTCACAGAGGAATACTTTTATAAAAAAACTCCTGTACTAGCTCATAAAGTTTAATTCATTACTGTCTTGGTAACTGGAGTCTTTGTGAGTCTTTGGTAGAGTTTCAAATAGTGTAATAAAATTAAAAAATAAAAATTATTGGGTATTTGCTAGGGGACAAAATAGCCTTCCGTTTTGAAGCTATCTTTACTTTTAAATTGTTTTTTTCCTTGCCAAATCTAATAGAATTTATGTGATGTGGAGTAAATTAAGCTAAATTCAAAACTTGATACAGGCTCCTACATAATTAGGTTATGAAAGAAGGGTAAGCAGTGAAGCATAATTAGGTGGTTGCATTAATTATCCGAATCCATAGAAATACAATAGAAATGGACCATTTGCTCTGAAGCCAATTAATTATAGCTATAATAATTGCTTTTTAATATTTCAGTTACATAAAATATTTCCATTTTATCTGCTTTTATGGAAAGTCCATTGGACAATCCTCAGGGATTTAAATATAAAAATACCACGATTAGATACTTATGTTTTAAATTGATACTTATGTTTCTGAATTTAAGTGTTGCTTTCTATATATGGAAATTAGATACCTTTACCTAAGCTTTGGGGTTACACATAAGGATCGAATGTCAAAGTGAAAAAGTAAAATTGAATGTAAAATTGAAATCAACTAGTGGTGGATTTTATAGTATCAGATCAAATAGTAATTATTCAATCACTATCTTATAATGTCTTTTTTTTTTTTTTAAAGGGAGAGATGATCTAGAAAGCTTCCAGCTTGAGATAAGTGGTTTTTTAAAAGAAATGGCATGTCCATATTCTGTACTCATATCAGGAGATATTAAAGACCGTTTAAAAAAGAAAGATGACTGTTTGAAACTTCTATGTAAGTTATCTTTGAACATTTAAATGCATGTGTTTGACTTGGTTTTTGTTATTTTCAAGATTTATGAAATTTCATTAATGAAGCATTTTGTATATAATAAATTATAATGTACTCTATAAGATTTCTAACACTTATGATTTATTTGGCTAATATAGAATTTTCTGTGTTTGTGATTTATATAGTATTTTAGTAATTTTTCTTTTGCCTAATTCACCTCTTAGTATTTATGACTAGAAGGCAAAAAAGTTGGTGATCTCCAAAGTCTTATTTAATCTTAAAACTCTCTGAAACTAGGCTGCTAAGCAGATTATCGGATCTTGTTTTAGTGATAGGCACTGAATGGTAGTGGTTTCAAAAATATTTATTGATACTTACTATTGTACTAGAAACTGCTCTAGGCAAAAAGGCACCCTTAGGCCACTTGAATTTTAGTGAGTCTGGCTTATTTTCGTTAGGGATGAATTTGGAGTATAAATTACCTTATATCTAAACAATTACCATAAATAATCTATTTATGGTAATTAATCCATTGGGTCCCTTCAAAAATTTTTTAATTCAATTTAATTTCATGCTATTTTGAAACTTGTACAAACAGTGACCATTTGAAAAAAATTTTCTAACATTTTCTATTGTTGAATATTTTTTATTAGGTTGTACCATTTATACAAAGATCCATGTGATATATTCCTTCTAGGCGCTAGTGTTGGCAATGTTTGTTTTATTTGAGCTGAAATTACGTGTTTGTGTTTAACCAGTGTGATGATAGGAGTTTTGATATTTGAATAACCTTGTATGTCTGTGTGTGTGTGGGGGGGGGGGTTAAAAATTATGCTCCCTCCCTTTCTTGCACTGTTTCCTCACCTTCCTTTCATTGAGTGTGAGTCACTGATTTCCTGAACCATTGTTATTAATTGGAGATCATAGTAACCCCTGGGTATTTTGAGACAAAGGATTCTAAAAAGCATGGCTTAGAGGAACTTGCAAACTCTTTCAGTTAAAGAGAGCTAAGTAATTCATCATGTTTACCTTTTTGCCTTAGCTGCTAAGAAGCTCAGCAATAATAGTAATATAGGCTTCTGGTAAAAGTAAAGAGGATATATAAGAGAAATTGGTATAGTTTTTTTCTTCTGATTACGGAAACATGCTTAGGAGGCCAGGTAAGGTGGGGAGTTAGTGTTAAATGTGTACAGTTTCAGTTGCAGAAGGTGAAAAGGTTCTGGAGATGGATGGTGGTAATGGTTGCACAACACTCTGTACTTAAGGATAATGTACACTTAAAAATAGAATGGTAGATTTTATATCTGTTAAAAAATTGGATGCTCATCATATAAACCTTATGAAATAGATAAAATTGTAAAGAAGAAAACCGTTTGTAATCTCACTCCCCAGAGAGAATCATGACTAACTTTTTGGTGTATTTTGTTTTCTTTTTTTCCTTTGTATATACACATTTAAATAAGTTTGAGATCCTATACAAATGCAGTTTCTTCACTACTTCCTCCTCCATTAATGTGAACATTTTCCCATCACTTATTTTAAAAAAAATCATTTAAATTGGCTATATAACATTGTATGCTATGGACATACTTTTACTTAATAGATTTCAAATTTGAGGGTACTTGGACTTTTTCCATTTTAAATTTCTTTGCTCATAATTCTGGATTAGTTAGACCAAGATTATGAACGTGAAAAACAAAAATCTTTGGTCTAGGTATATATCGCCATAGTTTTCTCCAGAAAGGTTATACCAGTTGACAATCTTACCAGCATCTACTCCATCTTTATCTTTAGTTAGACTATCTTTAAAACATACAAAAGAAGCTTCACGTTCTTCTTGGAAGTGTTTGTAACATGTATAAAATAAAAAGGACCAAATTCCTTACTATGTGGAGAGCTTTTATAAATCAAGAAGAAAAAGAAAACTCACTGAAAAAATGTATGAAATACATAAGACATGAACAGGCATTCTACAGAAAAAAGTTTTTTAAAAATTGCTTTTAATCATGAAAAAATGCACAGTATCCCTCAGAGTAAAAAAAGTAAAATGACAGGATACTATTTTTTTTTTCACTTAACAGTTTAGCAAATAACAACAAAAAAAGAAAATTGATAATACAAGTTTAGGGGAGTGAGCATTCTCATATACAATAGGTGTTAGCGTGTGGTAGAATGACTAGTACAAGCTTTTGGAAAGGCAGATTATTAATATCACAATTAAAATTCACGTGCCTTTTGACTTGGCAATTCCATGTCTAGGAATACATATTTATTTCCCCAAGTGTACAGAAATATATGAAAAGGATGTTCATTATGGCATTGTAGTAGTTAAGTAGGAATGGTACATCTTTGCAATGATACCACAATATAGCTATTAGAATGAAAACAGATCAAATATGCTGATATGGAATGATCTCTAAGATATATTGGTATATAAAAAATGAAAATAGAGAACATGTATAGTATACCTTGTTTCTACAAAATATATAGATGGTAGATACATATACTAAATATACATACATACATACATATTTATGACTAGAAAGATAAGAAACTAATAATGCTAATTGCCTCAAGGGAAGGGGAGTCTGAGGATTACAGTGGGAAGACTTCATAGTATTTTTTACCATCTGCATGGATTAGCCATTTTAAGTATTAGACTGAACTCTTGTTGTTACTGTAACATAGCGCATGTTTCTGTGGAACAAAGGCAGACTTCAGCCAAGGTTCTGTCCAAAATATAAATTTTTGAATGGGTGATTTGTTTTAATGAGGTTTTAAAACCAGAGGGACCCTGGCATAGTTCACAGAAGCAAAGTTTGATACATATTGGTCTTAACTTTCCGTGGGCTCTTTAGATTGTGTGACATGTGTAGATTGCATGGAAAAGACTTTACATCAGTGGCTTTCAATCCTCCCTGCCCATGAGAATCACCTTGGTTGTAAAATGTACCACACAGATGTCCTACTTTTACTTCAGATCTACTGGTTCAGAATCTTTCAGGGTAGGACCCAGGCACCTCTACTTTTAAAGTTTCTCAGATATTTTTTCTGCTCAGCTAAAGTTGACACTGTATTAAATTGTGGAGTGCATGATTATTACTTAAAATAAATAAAAACAAAACCCCAATATTTTAACTACTGTAGTGAGAGTTAATTTAAAACAAGGCTATAAATAACCACCTAAGATTTTTGAGTAATTTTCTTAAATATGGCTGTTGAAAGGGTTAAATGAAATGGTGACAGTAAAGGGGTGGTGTATCTTGAAGGCAAACAATTATTCTGATTACTCTGTCTACTAATAGATCAGTTAGAGCTATACATTCTCCCCTGGCTTGAGTACTCTGTGCATATAAGTGAGACTATTTTATCAGAGTTTTACATATTCTTAGACATTCTTAAATTATTGATTTACTGTTGTGTTTTTCTTACTGAACTTTAAACTCTTTGTGGGTAGGCTCTGTCTGTCTGTCTGTCTGCCTGCCTGCCTGTCTGTTTCTTTCCTCCCGCCCTCTTTATTATTTCTTTTTGTGATAAAAAAAAACAATGTGAGATCTACCCTCTTAGCAAATTTTTAAGTATACAGTACAGTACTATTAACTATAGGCACTGTACTACAAAGTAATAGATCTCTAGGCCTTACTCATCTTGTATAAGTGACCAATATGTATCCACTTTGGTTTAGGACTATGCCACGATCCCTCTGATTTCAAAACTTCATTCAAATAGATTATTGGTTCTTAAAAATTTTATGTTTAATAACTCCCTGTTTCTCCCTCTACCCCCACCCCTGGCCACCACCATTCTACTTTCTGCTTTATGAATTTGACTAATTTAGATTTCTCATAAAAATAATTTGTAGTATTTGTACTTCTATGTCTACATTTTTACTTTGCCCGGTGTCTCCCAGCTTTATCCATGTTGTTGCAAATGGATTTCTTCTTTATTAAGGCTGAATAATAATCCGTTTTATGTATATACCACATTTTCTCTCTGGAAGAATACCTAGGTTGTTTCTGTATCTTGGTTATTGTGAACAGTACTTCAGTGAACATGGTAGTGCAGATCTCTTTGAGATCCTGATTTTGATTCCTTTGGATATATGCCCAGAAGTGGGATTGTTAAGGAGTTTGTGTGGATTTTAACATTATTTGTTTTTTTCCTTATTATAGTATTTTTAAGTACAGAGCTTCAAGCTTTACAGATATTACAGAACAAGAAACGTAAAAATTCTCAATTGGATAAAAATAGTGAAATTTATCAGGAAATTCACGCTATCTATGACACCCTTGGTATTCCTAAGTCAACAACTTCTGACATTCCGCTTATGCTAAGCCAAGTGGAATCAAAGGTATTGTATTTGTTTTATTTTTCTTTCCCCAAATGCAACTAAATGCTAACATGTAAATAGTTCCTTTAAGTATAAGATATTCATTCCATTTCAGGAGAAGTTTATCTTCATGGAAACTAAATTTTAGATTTGGAGTTAATATTTATGTGACCTAATTTGCTTATAGCTAATATTCAGTGATCACATCTTAGTGCTCTTAGGCTTTGTGAGAGTTGCTGTGATAGAAATCACTTTGCAAATTTAAGGATTCTTTTTCTAAACAAGGTTGGAATGAATACATTATGAAGAAAAAAGTAGAATTAACCTATAAAGTCAAAGGCAAACTAAATTTTTTAAAATGGGCATTAATGGAATTGCAATGTGGTTGTCTTTGGTAGTGAACAAGTGCAATTTCTGGTGGATAAGTGTTTAGCAAATGTTGTATAGTGAATGAATAAATGAGTACCCTGATGGCGTAAAAACAGCCACTTAATATGTACCTCAAGCTTTTTGATTTTTTTCAGTTATTAAACTGCTTTTCCTACCTAGTCAAGCCATATGTTAGAATGTTGCTCTCATAGATCAAATTTTTGCCTAATTCCTAGGTTTTGTAGAAACCCTCTAGAGAATAATACAGGATTCATTTTAAAGAAAAAATTCTCACTTTCAAAAATGGGTACTAAAACTCCATTTTTAGGCACACTACTTTAAGTCCTTGAATAAAGTACTGTTTTGCATTGATAATTTATGAACTGAAGAAAAAGATTTGTCTTCACGTGAGAGAATTTTAGTATCATTAAGATGAAAACACAATATTAAAACTTTTTGAGGTGGGAGGAGAACTTGCAAACCAAGGAATGTCTGTGAATCGCAGCTCAAAAATACTTTCTGGGTTAACAAGTTATTCTTCAGAGTTTTTTCTCTTTTCCTCTGGATTAAGAATGATCTGGGGTTGGCTGAAATGTCTAGGACTATTTCAAATTGAGGCAGAATTATAGACTCTTCCTAATCTCCCAGTGCTTTCACATATTTACCCCAAAGAGGCTTTTTTCCTTTTAGGCATTTCAGTTAGTATTAGCAATATCCCCAAACCTCTCTTTTCCCTACTTAAAGCAGGCTATAACACCAGTGTTCAAATGCTGGCAGGCTAATTATAAGGTAGTTGTTACTATGGTCATTGTGGCTAAATAATTTACCTAAAAGGACTTCCTTCTCCATTCAGTTTCTATCAGAAATTTCCATATTGTGCAGAAGAGACTTTGTCACCATTGGGAGGAAAATTATCATTTTCCAACTCCAAGCTATTTAAATGTGAATCTAGAGTAATTATAGTAATAATAATGGAAATAATAGCAGATATATAGCATTTACTGTCCTAAATGTTTATATGTAACAAGTCATTGCCTTCTTAGATCATCTATAATGAGTTAGGTACCATTATCTACAACAGCTATATGAGGAAACTGAGGTACTGAAAAGTTTAATAAATTAGACAAGCAGATTTCTAAGTAGTGGTGGATCTGACTTTTGAACGCAAGCAGTCAATCTCCAGAGTCTACACTCTTCACTCCCTCACTATCACATACGTATTAAAACTGTTATCTAATGTTGAAATCCTGGGATTGTGATTACGTGTAAGAAACTGCAAATATTCATTCAGAATTCCTCTTGACTGAGGAGTTACCACTAAAACTTTTAGTAATATATGAAATAATTAAATTGGAGGTATTTACAATAATTGGTGAATCTATACAAAAGGTATGTTTTAACAGAATAAGTTAATAATTATAATACGTAAGAATTGTATCAGTAATTGTTGTAGAGGTAGATTTGCTATGAAGCTAATAAAGCTTAAGCTTTGAGACTCCTCATTTGCACAAGTTCTTTCTAAGCAAATTTTTTAAAAACAGCTTTCTCAAGATATCATTTACGTGCCATAAAATTCACCCATTCTAAGTGTGCAGTTCAATGAATTTTAGTGTATTTGCAGAGTACAACTATCATCAAAATCTAATTTTAGAACATTCTCATCACCTTTCCATCACCTTCAAAAGAAACCTTGTGCCTCTTTACAGTCACTCCCTATCACCACTAATCTTCATGCTAATTTCGTTTTCATAATTTTTAATTCTTTTAAAGAGAATGCCCTCCAACATTAAATAAGCTTCATACCCCTCAAAATCCGAACTGTCCCTGATTGTTTTCTTTAGTTACCTTTCTTTAGTTAACTGAGACACTGTAAATATTTCATTCTGTTTTGAAATATTTTCTTTAGATAGTAAAGGGTTCTACAGTTAGGAGGGCGAGCCCAACTTAGGCTATCATTTCTTAGTCATTTCCTTCAGGATAAATGACTGTTATTGGAATAACCCCTATATTGCTAAAGCGAAAAAGAATGCCTACTATCTTACTCACCAGAGTAAAACTGTTTCAAGTAATATAAATTAGTGGCTTTGCAAAAGGAATGAAACGTATATGTAGAGACTAATTGAGAGGGCTTGTTCATCTATGTTGTCTTGCTGAACAGTGAAACCAGAATACTTAACAATTGGAATGTGTAGATAGTAATTAATTGAGAAAAATCATGTGCTCATCAAAGGTGTTAATATTCCTTTTGAGAATTTACCAGGATGTAAGAGAGTGCCATCTTAAGAAAATCCAAAATCATACGGATTCTCATAGTAAAACCTTTTGTAGCTACTTTAGTTGTCTATTACATTATTTCTTATTCTGGCAAAGTAATGTGTGAATTAATACTTCTTTGAAAAAGATATTCTGAGTAGTAGTGATATTCTTTCCCAATATGTAGGGGTATATTTTAGTTATTTCACTTTAACATTTTATTATCTAGCATTCAAAATAACATTTTAAACAAGAATAAGATTGCTTTAAATTAGGGATATATAGTTTCACAATCTTTTATATTTACTTTTAGGTGAAAGATATTCTCTCAAAAGTCCAGAAAAATCATGTGGGAAAACCACTGCTGAAAATTGATTTAAATCTGGAACAGGCGGTAAATCCCCCTTCTTTTTATTATTAGATTTATATAATTCAGTTAGTGAATATGACTTAATTTTACAAATGAACATCTAGATTTTACAATATGTAGCTTGTATTATTTTGGAGAATTAAAATGGATTGATATTCTAGAGTAATAGGTCCAGACATTTTTTTTGATCAGCTTATTAATTTTAAAACTACTTGGCCAAGAGTATTTATGGAGCCCATTATGTTAGCATAGTTGTCATTTGAAACGGACAATAGCTTAAAGCCAATAAGATTGGAAGTTACCGGTATTTCTTTCCTTATTGGTTCAGACGACTTAGCAAGTAGATGTTTTGCTTAATATGTTTGATTGAAGATAAGGTAAATTCTACCAGTTTTGGAGTTTAATTTATATGTTTAATATCTTCTGAATATCATAAATGTTCTATCAGATACTCTATTATTTAAATAATTTACTGTTAAAGTCTCTTGGATCAGAAAATAGTCATTGGGTACAGTATTTTTTTAATTAATAGGAAGTATTGACCACAATTTTTAAATTTCCATGTGTAATGAAAGAATCTAAAACTTATAATATTTGTTTCCAAATTGTTTAGGAACAACTGGAAAGAATCAACGATGCTCTTTCCTGCGAATATGAGTGCCGCCGGCGGATGTTGATGAAACGATTGGATGTTACAGTGCAGTCCTTCGGATGGTCTGATAGAGCAAAGGTAGGGCTGTTTTGCCGTCTGTGTCCTGTAGGTGGTACTCTTTGACAGTTCTTCAGTCTTTCTTGTCTATTATGTAACTATGCCACATTTGTACTTTATCACTCTGAAGCACATACCCAGGCCGACTACTGGTCTTATATAACGATCCTGGTCTTGTATAAATCCCTTTTTTCAAATATTTTATTTCTACCCAAATCTTTCACATTATTTTAAACTCATACATAACTGTGATTTATTCAAGGATATGTATAAAAGAAGGCATTATATGAGACAGTAAGATAAAGTGAGCAACTGATCAAGAAAGAAAGACATAGGAATAGGTATTGGTAGTACTGATCCTGAACAAGTCTTCTTAAAAGTGTCTTAAGGCTGTGGAGTGTGGTCCAGTTGAAGAGGGATTTGGAGGATATGGGCATCTCTAAATATGAATCTCTTCATACAGCTTTCTAGAGATCTGTCTTCTATCCCACCCATTTTATGCATCTAACCTGTACTCAGGCTTTGTCCTACCTTGCATCATAGACTGGAAACTCCTGACAGTAAGCTGGGACAATTTTAGGAAATCATTTGCTCCCTCTGTTTTCAGGGGTCACAGTCCTATGTTCCTTGATGTCCAGTGTCGGAAAAAAAAAATCCCTATTTCACATGGGTTGTCCAGTTTTATAGTTGTTTCAAGTGGAAGAGTAAATCTAGTGTATGTTACTCTCTGCTGTTAATATTATTATACTCTTTGGATTAACTGGGCAGTTTTTCTGCCCCATCTTGCATCAGCACTTATTCAGCTTTATTCAACTGGTACCTGGGCTAAGCTGGAACATCCAAGGTGCTCGTCTCACATGTCTGGGTTCTGCTGTCTGCTGGGGTGCTTTGGTTGTCTTCTTGGCTCTGATGTGGTCTCTCTCGCCATGTGGTGTCTTGTATTGGTTTCCTATGGTGGTTGTAACAAATTACTGGAAACTTAGTGGCTTATATAATACACGTTTATTCTCTTAACAGTTTGAGAGAACAGAAGTCCTAAAATGAAGGTATTGGCAGGATTGCATTCCTTCCAGACGCTTGAGGGGAGAATCTGTTTTCTTGCATTCCCTAGCTACCAGATGTCACCTGTGTACCTTGGCTCTTTATCTCATCCTCCATCTTCAAAACCAGTAGTGTAGGATCCTCTAATCTTTCTTCCTTTGCTTTTAGTGTCACTTTGCCTTCCCCTGTCTGACACTCTTGTGTCTCTCTTACAAGGATCCTTATGATTACACTTGGCCCACTCATGTAATCCAGAGTAATTTTTCTATCTCAAGATCCTTAATCTGCATCTGCAAGGTAACATATTCACAGGCTCCAGAGATTAGGATGTGGACATCTTCCGGGTGGCCGTTATTCATTTTACCAGATGTCTCATCTTCCTTCTAATTGGATGTTATTTTTTCTTGTATTAGGTTTCTCTAGCATATGCTGGTGCTGCTTTTTCTTCTTAAATATACTTTTAAAATTGGATAGTCTAATGAATTCTCCACTTTCTATATACTTTCCCTCCTCAAAACGTGTCTTCTTATTGTAGTAAATCTGGGCTGTTTGCTTGGCTATCCTTGGCTATCTCACTATTTCTTGGATCGAATTGCCACCTCATGTTTATTTCCTCATTCTGCTACAGTAAATCCAAAAGTAATTTCCTAACAAAGGGTACATAGGAGTGATTTTTCTGAATCCTTGTATTCTGAAAATGTTTATTCTGCTGTCACATTTGATTGGGTAAACATAAAATTCTAGGTTGAAAATATTTTTCTCTGACTATTGAAGGTATTTGCTTCATTGTTTTCTAGTATCTAGTACTACTCTTGAGAAACTTGTCATTTTCTATGCTTTTGGATGACCTTTTATTTTTCTCTGGAAGCTTTTGGACTCTTTATCCTTGGAGTCTGAAATTTCACAGTAGATGTCGGTTTGGGTATTTATTATTTCATTATTGTAAATACGAGGTGGACCTTTAAATCTGTAGACTCTTAGCTTTTATATTTTTTAAATTAATTTCTTTCCTTTTGTTTCCTGTGTTTCTCTTTCTGAAACTCTTGTCAGTCAGGTGTTGGACATCTTGGATAGATCCCCTTATGTTGCTTTATTTATTTTTTCATTTTCTCTTTCTCTTTTGGATTTTACTTTCTTGGAAATTTCCTTGGTATTGAATTTTCGTTTCTGCCATCATTTTTATCCAGAAATTCTTTTTGATTCTAGAGGTTTTTTTTTTTTTTCCCATATTTTTCTTCTTTTATAGTTATGCTATCTTTCTGAACGAGGATGAACAGTTTTTAAAAATTACCTTTTTTTTGGCTTTCAATTATTTTTGTTTCCTCCAGGGTAATTATTTGTTTATTTTTCTTGTTTTCTCTCTTGTGGTGACTTTCTTCAAATGCACAATGGTTACTGGTTGTCCATATTAAGGAGCAAGACACTGAAAGACTGATGGGGAACTACAGTCAGTGATTGGAATTGTTGATATGAGTCTTTGGAACTGGCTATGGTGCTGTGAGAATTCCTAATGTTGATTTGTAGAAGTCTTTTCTCTGAAGGTGCTCATTTTTTCAAGAAGAAAAACTTCATTTTTTCTAAACACTTTTCTTTCTTTGGTCAGAGGAGGTGGAGTGGCAGTATGGCACCAAGGGTTGAAGGAATAGACTGTTTGACAAACAGATTTGAGTTAACCTTTATTTTTGCCTCCAGAATTCATTTTCTAAGATGTTGGTTCCCTTCTTATCTGTATTCCTGTTTTCCATTTTTTGTTGTAGTATGCGTATACCTTTTTATAATGTAGTGTGGTCATTCTGACTTATTTACGTAGAATTACTCCCTCATGTATTATACAGAGTCTCCTCCAAACACCTGGCAGACAGATACAGAAAATTGAAGAGTGCTTAGAACAAAGTTGCTGGTGAAATCTATTATTTCAGGGAACAAAATTTTTTTTTAAGCACAATAATTGAATAGTTATAAGGCAGAGTTGAAGACTGTCTTTTATGTATTTTCTTTCAATAAACATTTATTCAGCATCTCATATGTGTCAAGCACTATGATGTACCAGGTTCTGGATGAGCATTTTAGTACTCTCTATGCTTAAGTGTAGAATATTTTTGGAAGATTTCCATGTCTGTGATACCTAATCAGCTTCTCAGATGGTTAAAGCCTATTTCTTTTCTGCATGTGCACCAGGATAAACTCCAGAGATATGTGAGTGTCCATGTCATTGGAATAACTGTTATATGCAAGAAACTGAGATGCTCTAAGCTGTGGCTTACAAAAGAAGTAGATGACATGATTGCTGGCCTCAAGAAATGCAATAGAGTTCAGATGTATGGGAGGTGCTAGCTTTACTGACCTCTGGAAACTTAATAGGTTAAGTTTTATACATGTCAGGTTATCAGTTTAACCTGTTAGAATTTTAATGAGAAAATGGAATTTAGGAATAGAAGGACAACTGTGAAGGTAGTATATTAAATATGTCTTAATATAGTAACTTAGAGGATAATTTCAGTGTTGGCCTTAAATTTACAGAGAAATCCAAAACAGTTTTGACATGTTCTTTTCTTTGAACATTTAGAGTGGCATGGACTAATGGGCATGTTGACTCTTTACTACCCTTGAACTTGGAGACTTTGAGAAAATATGCCTTTAGGAAATACCTTCATATTTTATTTTCTTGATCTTTTTTCATTATGTTTTAAGACAAAGGAAGTTGTATTTTTATTCTTTTCTTCTTAGTCTGGGGAGATTTTAGAAATGTTTTTTTCTTAGGCTATGGGTCAATTTAGGCCTTTCATTTCAGCCTTTCTAATTGATTATATAAGTATATGCATTTATACCTTGAGTTTTCTTGTTAAATTATCCCGTTTCGTATGCCTGATATTGTTGAATGACTCATCAAACATTTATTCTACAGCATTTTAAAACTTTACAGAAAATTTTATATAGATCTAGTCTATCGATTGACTTTGAGGTTTCCTTTAATTCCTTATTTGACCCTTTAATGAAATCCTTGGCAGCTAAATTTTTGTACATGTCCATGATATATTTCTAAAATTTCTTTTTTTAAAATTGAGTTATAATTGACATATATTAGTTTTAGGTGTACACCATAATTATTTGATATTCGTATATATTGCAAAATGATCACCGTAAGTTACAGAATTGTTTTTGTGATGAGAACTTTTAAGATTTATTTTCTTAGCAACTTTCAAATATGCAATACAGTATTATTAACTATAGTCATCATTACATCCCCGTGACTTATTTATTTTATAACTTTAAGTTTGTGCCATTGACTCCCTTCACCCATTTCACATACTCCCCCATTCCTCACATCTGACAGCCACCAGTCTGTCCTCAGTATCGATGAGCTTGATTATGCTTGGTTATTTTTTTGATTTTTTTTTTTAGATGCCATATAAAAGTGAAATCATATGGTATTTGTTTCTGTGATTTATTTTACTTAGCACAGTACTCTCAAGATATATCCATGTTGTTGCATATGGCATGATTTTATTTTTTTATGACCGAATAATATTCCTGCATGTGTGTGTGTGTGTTTGTGTGTATCACATTTTCTTTATACATTTATTCATTGATGGACACAGGTTGTTACCATCTTGGCTATTGTGAATAATGCTGCAGTGAATTAGGGGGCACATATATCTTTTCAAGTTATTGTTTTCGTTTTCTTTGGATAAATGCTCAGAAGTGGAATCGCTGAATCATATAATAGTTGTATTTTTAACTTTTTGAGGAACCTCTGTATTTTCTAGTGGCTATACCAATTTACATTAACCTCCATCAGTGCACAGAGGGTTCCCTTTCTCTACAGCCTTGCCAACACTTGATATTTCTTTACTTTTTAATGATTGCCATTTTAACAGGTGTGAGATGGTATCTCATTGTGGCTTTAATTTACATTTTCCTGATGATTAGTGATGTTTAGCATCTTTTTATGTACCTGTTGGCCATCTTTATATGCTCTTTAGAAAAATGTACATTCGATCCTCTGCCTATTTTTTAATCAGATTTTTTTTTTTTTGCTGTTTTGTATGAGTTATTTACATATTTTAGTTATTAACCCCTTATCAGATATATGATTTTGAAATATTTTCTCCCATTCATTAGGTTGACTTTTCATTTTATTGTTGGCTTCCTTTGCTGTGCAGAAGCTTTTTAGTTTAATGTAGTCCCAGTCATATATTTTTCCTTTTGTTGAGTTTGCTTTTAGTGTGAAATCCAAAAAAATCATTGCCAAGACTGATGTCAGGGAGCTTACAAACTGTGTTTTTTTCTAGAAGTTTTAAAGTTTCAGGTCTTATATTCCATTTTAAGATCTTTAATCCATTTTAAGTTATTTTTGTGTATAGTGTAAGACGGGTCCACTTTCATTCTTTTGCATGTTGTCTAGTTTTCCCAGCACCATTTATTGAAGAGACTGTCCTTTCCCCTATTGTATATTCTTATCTCCTTTGTCATAAATTAATTGACCAGACATATGTGGGTTTATTTCTGGAGTATCTACTCTGTTCTATTGATCTGTGTCTGTTACTATGCCAGTACCGTACTGTTTGATTACTATAGCTTTGTGATACAATTTGAAATCAGAGAGTGTGATGCCGTCAGTTTTTCTTTTTTCTTTCTCAAGATTCAGGTCAAGTAGAATCTCTTAATCAGAGAATATGCATGATTTTAGTGCTTTTGACATATATTCCAGAGTTACCTTCCAAAAAGATTATACACTTTTGTTAGTATGGTTAATCTGGTTTCTTTTAAATTATTTTACTAGTATTGAATTAGGACAGTATAATTTTATTGTTTTCTTTACAGAATATATTGTGATCATTGTCTCCTATCTAAAAGCTCTATTTCCATACCCTTTTTAAAATTAATTTTTAATTTTTAATTGTTGGAGCTATAATCCACCATCTTAAAATGTGTAATTCAGTGGTTTTTAGTATATTCACTGTATTCTGTAATCATTACCACTATCTAATTCCAGAATATTTCCATCACCCCAAAAAGAAATATGCACCCATTAGCAGTCATTCCCAACACCCCCGCACTTCCCTGGCAGCCACGACTATGATCTACTTTCTGTGTCTTTGGATTTGCCTATTCTGGACATTTCATATAAGCAGAATCATATAATATGTGGCTTTTTGTGTTTGTTTTCTTAGCATAATGGTTTCAAGGTTCATCCATGTCATCTCATGTGACAACATTTCAGTGTCCTTTTATGGCTGTTATATTTTATTGTATAGTGATACCATAATTAATTTTCTTACTTTGTATATTTTTTCTATATTACAAATACCAGGAATATTAATATGTATAATTTTTATTTATGAATCAAAGTACAGTCTTATGATGGATTCCTAAATGGAAATTTATTGTGTCAGTGGTTATGACTCTTAGTGCTTTTGATTCACATGGCCAAATTGTTTTTTAGGAAATTGGTATGAATTTAAACTCCTGTCAGTAAGGTAAATGAAATTTTATCTTCACTTTAGTTTCATTAATATTTAGAATATTATCACTTTTATTGCTAACTTGATGGTTAAGAAAGACTAAATTGTTTTAATTTATTTTTATTATTGGTAAAGTTTAACTTTTTACATAAGCTTATTAGTCATTTGAATTTCCTCTTATTTTTTTGGAATTTCTATTTGTGTCTTTTTCCTCCCCTTAGAGTCTTCCTGTTTTCCTTTTGATTGAGCTTTTTATATATTAAGGAAGTTAGCTAGTTGCTGTATTTGTTAAATATTTTTCCCAGTTGGCTTTTGATTTTGTTTTATGTGTTTTGATATATATATATAATTTTAATCTTTGTAATAAAGTTAAATTTTTCGTTATGAAATAAAACCTTTAACAGTGAACTCTGTATTTGGAATTCCAATATGGTGCACCTTATTATTTTTACAGATAGCTAACAGTTTATTCCAGCACCATTTAAAAGAATAATCTATCCTTTTTCTCACTGGTCTTTGATGCTCCTCTATCATTTATTGCATTCATACATCTATGAGGCTCAGAATCTTAATTGCCTTTTTTGTTTCATCAATATATTTTTTTCCTCCCCAAGTTTCATGTCATTAGACTGAGGCAGGAGAGTATACTGTTATCTGTACACCTGTGCTTGGGAATCAAGTGTATCTTTATTACGAAGTAGGCAAAGCTGAGATTCTCTCTGTATTTTGGGGAAACTAAGCTTTCTAGGCCTGGTTGTTTTTTTTTCCCTTTGCAAAAGGGAGTAATAAAAACCACACTCTAAAAAGGATATTTTCAGGATTAAAGACAGGACTATTAAGTGAACAGTATTTTGGCACATTTAATAAGTGCTCAGGGACTATTAGCTATTATGACAGTGATGATAATTTCATATTGCATATTAATAACTGATAGAACTCTTTCAAAATTCTTTAAGTCATTTTTACATAGTTTCTGGATTAACTTTGAATCACCCTCTCCCCCATTTAGCTCGAAAACCATTCCAACAGGATTGCAGTAAATCTTTAGTTAATCTGGGGGAAAACCGACAATCCTCAGTGTCCCCATCCAGAAACTTGGTATTTCTCTCCATTTATTCAAGTTTTCCTTTTGTTTTTATTTTTTTTTCTTAAAGGTCTTATATGTGATTTTGGTAAAGCTGTTTTTAGGTTATTTTTTGTTATTATGACTAGAATGTTTTTTGTGTTACTTTGTTAACGAGTTATTATTGGTAGTTGTATATTCTTTAAGCATCTGTTGGTCTACTTTTTTCATTCTACATACAAATTATCAGATATTAATGATTGCCATTGCTCTTTCATTGAAATGTTCTTTGGTTCCTTTTCTCCCTAACTTTTGTCATTTAGGTGAAAACAGATGACATAGCAAGAATTTATCAGCCTAAGCGTTATGCTTTGTCACCCAAGACAACGATTACATTGGCACATCTACTTGCTGCTCGTGAAGATCTATCCAAGATCATTAGAACAAGTAGTGGCTCTAGCCGGGAGAAGACGGCATGTGCCATTAATAAGGTTGGTTTTTCTCAGTGGAGAATGAATTTATAATATCCTTGTTTGATGTTTTTACATTTTCTTTTGTTTTGGTGAACTCCTAGAAAAGAGTGGTAGAGGGGGCTTCATTCCATCAAGGCTTAGTTATGTTTTGTGTGTGTGTTCATTTGAATTTCTTTGTTCATAGATTAAACCAAAGTTTTATCTGAATTAGAGGAATTAAGAATTGTTTTTATCAATAGCTTTATGAAGAATTATTTGTTTTTCCAGCAATGTAATCATTCATTGTTAGTGAAAATATATAGGAATCATTTCAGGTATTGACAGGTTTCTTATACCCTTGGTGTTAAAGGGAAGAGCACATGCTTTGGAGTCATAAATCTGGATTCACATTCTAGCTTTATCATTTACTTAGAGGAATCACCTTGAGAAAGTTACTGAATCTCTGGGGGGGTCTGTTTCCTGATTCAGAGCATAGAACCATTTCTTTGACAGGTCTTAAACAAGTTCAAAGAGTCTGAATTTTATACCTTAATGGCAGCAGCAACAACAAACTAATCTAGAATGTTTGTCAGCTCAGCTAGCATGTACTCTTTATTTAGAAAAAGACTATATTACAAAAGAGGAAAAATTCAGGAGTTAGGGCATTTGGGTAATTTTAAAACGTTGTTTCTCACTCAGCATGGTGAGAAAGTTATCCTTGATATATGATACCTTATCTGAGGGATGGTTGTATATAAAGTCAATTTACCTAATTATTGCTCAGTTAGACAGCAGTGTTTATGCCTCCCTGCTTCCATTTTAAGATCAGCCTATCTTCTGAAAATGTTCTGTCTTGAAATATGTTAATATCTTGCATCAGGTTACAATCTAGTCTTGTTGGATCAAGAGTTCTTCTTTAAGTGAAATTTCCCATCTCTTTTCTGAGTTTATAATTTATAGTCTGATTATTTGAGAGAAATCTTATGATCAGTTCTTGCAGCAGCTTTCCATATACCCACCAACATAGCTTGTTTGGTGGAGAGACCACTAAGAATAACAACGAAGAAAAGCTGTTTTGGGGATTTGATAATTAAGGCATTTTTGCCGACTTTAAAAGAATGTTTTACATACTTCGTTCAAACCTTGCCCCACAGTGAGGATGTTGTACTTCTTGTCTGTCATTTATAACATAAATTACTAAAACATAATTTTGATTAGATGATCAGTGGAAGTAGAACCTGATTCATAGGTCATTTTAATTGAGGCAGTTATGGTTTTACCTTCTTCCCTGAAAGAGATTATTTGGAAGCTAATGGCTTTTCCTTGGCTGTGGTGGATGGAGGGCCACCCTCCTCGCTTTTGTCTGTCTTTGTTCATGAATATATAAAGGAAGCCCTTTCTACAGAACATTGGGGCTTAAACCAAACTCTTCCCTGATTTATCCTTCAAAGTATTGTAAAACAGAGTTAAGGTAAAACATAGTTAAGGATGGATAGCAAGTTTTTATTTTTTTTATAATAATATAGTAATTACTATCATCATTGAAAGTTAGCTTAAGTTTCTCATAAAAAAGAAATAGTTCATTGAGAATCTTTGTTTCTCCTTGCAGTCATACCTTGGATTATAGTTATTATATTCATCTTGATTTCATTATGTCCATGTTATATGTATTTCATACTTTGTTGAAATAAAATGTGCTTAGAAATATAATCTTTTATTACATAGCTCATTACCAAATCAGTAGCAATAGAAAGTTCAGAGTTTTTGTTGTTGTATAAATGGATATGAATTTAATTAAAGTATATAGTTTATGTACTTGAAAATGTTTTGTTAAAAAAATTTCTTAGCGTGATAGGTACCACATTTATTATAGAATTTGCTAAACAAATTTAAATGAGAAAATTAACAAGCCCTTAAGTTTCAGAACTATTTCCCCGAATTGTTTAAAAATAATACCACATTGTGAGGAATTTGTCATACATCACATTTATATTTTCAATATTAATTCATACTACCATGTCTGTTACTTTCATGTCCTTAAATATTTGGCTTCTGTTTCTTTATTAGAATAGTAACCTCAATATTGCTTGAATCATTTAAGTAAATTTTAACTTTTAAAATATGAGAAACTGAAAGAAAATGTTTTTTTACACAGGTGCTGATGGGAAGAGTGCCTGACAGGGGAGGACGGCCAAATGAAATTGAACCACCACCCCCTGAAATGCCACCTTGGCAAAAGAGACAAGAAGGCAGCGGAAGGGGTGGGTGGGGAGGTGGAGGTGGTGGTAGAGGAGGTGGTGGGGGTGGAAGAGGTGGCTGGGGAGGTGGTGGAAGTGGGGGAGGTGGTAGCAGAGGAGGAGGTTTCCAAGGCAGGGGAGATTATGGTGGGAGGGGAGATTATGGTGGAAGAGGGGGCTACGGTGGAAGAGGGGGCTACGGTGGAAGAGGTTATGGAGATCCATATGGAGGGGGTGGTGGTGGGTATAGAAGATATTAAAAACTACAAAAATTAGCAATGCTTACTTCTTGAGAGATACATTAGGCATAGTATTCAAAATAACATACTTGAATGTCATCTTTGAAGTAAACACCATGTTAGATTCCCTATGATACCATTCTTAGTTGGGTTAATATGTAAGAGCATTGTTTTATACAACCATTTGACTATCCCTTAGACATAGTGATGATTTTTTCCCCATATTCTGTGTACCCTTGAGCATGTTATGTCTTTTTAAAAAACAAAAACAAAAAAATGAGCAAAAACTATTTTTTAACATGTAAATATTTATTATCATCAAACTTGGAAAATGGAAAGTATTTTATTGTCATGATTGAATTTAGATGTGACCTGTATTTTATTCAGATTTGCGATACATAAATGACCCCACTTGTTAATTAGACTGTTGCCTCATCTGTATTCCTGTAGCTAGCTGTGTTTTGTTTTTTAATTCTACTTTACAACATAGAGAAAGAGACTGATGGTTTTGTTCAATAGGTAGTTGTCATGACTTGTTTTCTCTATTATAAGAAGCTATTCCTCTGACCAGGTTTCTGGTAAAGTTCCATAAATTGAAGGCTGAGTTTACTTTTTGGTTTGCATATCTGATTTATTTTCCAATTGGATTTGAAATCTGTGATTTTCTTTGACAAAGCAAAGTTAAATTGAGGTCAGAATTACTCTAAAGGGACAAAAGTATACCAACTTTACATGATGGTGTAAAAATATTCCTATAAATTGGTTTCTTCATCCTTTGGCCTTCATTTTAGGTATCAGAATATCAAAAGGCAGGCTGAGCTATATGATATAGGATTAGAGCAGTAATTTCCAGTTTCAGTAGAACAGAGGTAGGGCCAAGGCATCCCTAGGTGATTCTGATTCTCAACTAGATTTGGGAAACACAGGGTTAGGTAGGGGTTGGTTATATGTGGTTTCGTGGGTGGAACAGTCAAAAGCTTGGGGACTAGGTATTGTGAATTCGAATTATGGCACTAGCCCATGGGTGCTATGGTTGAAATGACTGGAGGTCTCAGGGATTGATTTGTCCTCATTTGTGAGATGAGGAATGTGATGCTTGAGTACAAATGAAATTTGTTGAGAATTTATAGCAGTCTTGTGAATGGTTTAAGAGGTGGGCCAAGTAATGCAGTTTTTTTCTTAGTAGAGAGAAAAGAGATAGCCACACATGTTTTTCAGTTCCTACTGTAAAATCTATATCACAACATAGGTGTCTGGTCAGCACCTGTGCATAACAACTTTCTGTGCTCTAATCAACTCAGTAGATAGAAAGCTGAGTACCAGTGGACAAATGGTATTTGATTTTTGGCAGTTTTGTTTTTTTGTTTTACAGTAAACCCTGTGATAAAATCTAAGATAATGTTAAAACTTTAAAAGTAAATATTGTGTATGCTGCAGTCTTGGCCATGTACTTTTTAAGCTAGCCCTTCAAAGAAGTTTGTTCAGGATAGGAAAACAAATTTTTTTGGTTATTTGTAAACTTATTTTTTAGTGTTTATGTTTAATGGAGAGACTTAATTTCATTTATGATACTAGGAGCAAATGTTTTTCATGATTAAGAAAACCCTTTTATCAGTAGCTATGAACTCTGAAAAACAATTAAAAAAATAATATATATATAAGCAGAGAACACTGGAGTAAAATATTTCAAGAGTTATTAGTTTAAACAGAAAAACGCTCATTTAAAGCCTTTATATTTCTGCTTCATTTCATTTTGGGAGCTTTAGTTGATAACAGAAGGGGTTTACAACTACTTCCAACTTATATCACTAAAGGTTTATAGCAAATAATGGCAGAAACATCATTTTCCGTAAGATGTCTTTGTACCTTCATTGAAGTGCTGTTCGATTATCCACTGGAGGCACTGTAAATCTTATCCAAGTTTAGCACTTGCTCCTTGAATCATGTTGGAGCTGGAACCACACCTTATTATACATTCCTATAAATGTCGCTTGAATGAAAAGCTGAGTGGTCTAGACTTTAATGTCTTATTCTTTCCCGTAAGCTAGGATTTTCATGATAATCTTCAGTAAAAAATTCATTTGTATAAGAATGTGCTGAGCAATATCTAGATTAGCAATAAGGCAATCTGGGGCCTCAACGTGAAAGGCCATAATGTGAAAATGTTTTATAAATTGAGTGCAATACAAATGTAGTGTGTGATGAATAGCACTTCACTGCTTCCTAAAGTCCAACACGTTTTTTTTCTGCTCTCTTCATTCTTTCTTACCTGGTTCTCATTTTCACTTTTTCCTATTACCTTGTTGTCCCTCCCCTTTTTTCTTTTTCTTGCCTTGGTCTAGCCTGTGGTATCTAATAACATCTATAGATAGGTCTTTATTGGGAGTTTCTGAATTAAAGAAAGTAACCTCACATCTGGACCATATAAAGAACATAAGTCCTATCCATACATAACCACTACACCATTATACATAAGCAAAAGAGGGCATCAGGTGTTTTCTTTGAACTTATTCCCTTGTGTTCTGCAGATCGGAGAGACCTTGCCTCACTAAACAGGAAAAAAGCATTTTAAACCAAAAACATTTAGTCACTTATATTCGTGTCAAAAGAAGGTATAATAACTCAAATAAGATTTGTGACCAGAGAATGTTCTGATCAACGATACCGTCTGTACCTTGTAAAGAGCACAGGTTAGAGATATTTGGGATGAGAATCAGCGCTGGAGGGGGAGAGCCAATTTAATCTCTTCTTTAGGTTGTCAGTGTGACTTCATTATTTTGTATGAAGTATTATGAATGGCCAAAATGATAAACCCACATCCAAATATATGAAGATAAATTTCACAGTGAAACATGATTGGAATTTTTCTCCCTTCATTGGTTTGGTTAAGCAAAAGTTGGCTGGGAAATTAAGGGAAAATCATGGCTATCTCTAATCACTAAATAATCATGAGCACAAATGAATTGCTCTGGATGGGCTGTACACTGGGTTGAACCATCCTCTACCAATTTCACCCACAGTTTCAAAGTTTCTCTTCTCTTCTTGCTAGTTTTCTTAGATAGAACTGCGTAATTAAAGATGAAAGCCACAGAGAAATGACAACTGCATATTTGTCTCCTTCAGTGTTAAATATTTATAGACTTAATATTTGGGATCACTGTAAGTCATTGTGTAATAAGATGGGACAAGGTTACTTCATGTTATAAAAAGATGTATAAAACTTATACTGACTAATTGCTTTGCTTTTCCTTCCAGGAAAACTGTTTGGTTAATAGGATAGGGGAGTGGTCATAGCTGTGGATTATGGTAAAAATTCAGGTGAAGTTTCTACATATTTGTGAACTAGAAGACAAGACATCTGTGTTATAGGAGTCCTAATGTCTTTTATCATATAAATATTACACAAAGAAAATTTACATTAGGTATAAAAAATTTTTACATTCTATACATTTTGTTTTTCCTTATAGTTCTTTTACATAATATATCTTTAGACAGAAATTCACATATAGTAAAAAGGCAAGTTACCAAAGAAAATGAGAAGTGACAATGCTCTTAACAAAACAAAATTGTACTTGTTTTGGCAGATAAACATATGCTCAAACTTATTTCAAGTCAGTACAAGACACAGAAATTTGTATCCTAGGCTTGGCAAATGAAAACTTTGTTCCAGGTTATTTCTGGAATAGTCCACTAATCCCATGTAGCTCAGTACAAATAATATTAATTTACATACTATACTTCTTGGCCTTTGCTGGACTGTAAAAACCTGTGATGAAGCTACTCGTTCCTGTCCATTTCAGTGATAAATTCTGGAATGTTTGAGACCCTCTATCCTTGTTAATTTGACTAAGGGGACTGTGATCTTTTGAATTCCAATAAGTTACAGATTTTTCGCACAAAACTAACCTGGAATCTGTATTTTGGATAGCAGGTAAGAAGAATGAAAAAATTTGTGTTACATGACTGTTTAAAGAAACTGAGCTGTACTGTCTTTGGTCTATATCAGAGGAAAATAATAGTGAAGAATATGAATTTTAAATATTATCATAAACTCATGTCATTCCATATAAGGTAAGTAGCAGAGTGCTTCTGTAAGTTTATATACCAAGTGGTAGACCTAAGCAGCTCTGCTGTAGGATTTTTGAGTTTGGATTTAGAAATGGGTAAATTTGTGAAATGATTCTTTAAAACACTAATCGAAAGCAAATCACTAGCTTTGTCCCTAAAGCTCAGTACAAGGAGGTACACAAATAGGAGCTGGCCTTTCATCAAAGAAGCTTCTTAATGGTCTGAATCCTCTAAGGAAGCTACCCTGTCTATATGTACTTTGTGTTCTGATTAAGACTTGGTGGTGTTGGCTTTAGGTTTGGAACTTCTAATTATTGAGATTATATTCTTGGCAGTTGGTCAACTCATGAATTTCAAGTCAGTTTAGTACCAGGCTTTCCAAGCATGGAAGGTAAGTTCCACTCAAAAAGAAAATGACCATATGAATTTTTTTTAGAGAAATAAAGAGGCTGACAAATTTGTGAACAGTTGCCCAGACAACGAAATGAGCCCATTTATCATTAACCTTCACTAATAGATAACTTACAGAACTCTTACTTGTGATTTTGCCAAATACTGCAGTTTACATTGTGATCAAGTTCTTCATCTTATAACAAACTGAACTTTATATTTGTGAATTTGTGTAAATAACTAAAAGTTGTTTAATTCACTTCCACATTTTATGGAGGAAACAAAATTCCAAGTCACATGCATGCCTGATATTGTATATATACATATGTACATGCTTGTCAGCTGTTATTGAAGGTCGTAATCCAATTAGCTTATTTCTAAATAATATTAATATAGTATAAGCACAAATTCAGCTCAAAAACAGTTACTTCCACAAAAAAGGGTAAAGATGGTACATGTAAAACTAAACAGACTTTAAAAAAACAGCCACAAAGTCTCAATTCTATCCACTATAGATTATATGAGGACAAACATTTTTTGTATTATTTACTTTAGCCAGTCATGTCTGAGATGGTAATAACCATATTTTCAGGTATTTAATTTGGCTACTTTATTATGACTGTGAGACTAAAACTATGAGTTGATCTGCAGTTAGATAATGTCATGTTGTTTAATAAGCCCACCTGCAAAAATTTGTGTTCTCTAGAAGTTCACTTCTAGGTAGATATCATGTGTGTGTGAGTGTAGTGAGGAAGGATGGGGAAAAGGCTAACTGATTAGTTATGAGGTAGTGAAGTGGGAACCAGATTCATAAAGAATACTGGAATATAAACAAGTGAATCTACTTTTGGAATATTGGTGTTTTAATATTATAAGCAATTTTTGGATGGAACAAAGTAAATCTCTCAGTTCACAGAAAACCCTGGGGAAGGAACCAAATTCATTTTCCAGGGATTTTAGTTCTAAGGAAGAAGCAGGCCACATAGGACAAGCTAACTAGTCATGTTTTTTTTTTTTTTTAAATCATGCTTTTGCTATTAGTCTTAAGGGGGGAAAAGTCTGTGGTATTAATGGCAAAACTTTTACATTCTTCAGTTTTTTTCCCCTTTGTTTCAACTGACTGGAAGAGAAAACAGTACCACACTGTAGGATTCTTTTAGATTAAAAAAATGGTAATGAGATTTTCTTTTTTAAAATACCCTTTTCAAAGCTGGTCAGTCTAAGGTTCCCTGGGTCTTTGTGTTAATCGGTTTAGGAAAGATCTCTGATAACACTTATCTACAGATTGTGCTCCTTGAGTGTTTGGGCTAAGAACATTCACCCTGTTCCATTTGAGCTAAGACATGATTGCTTTTTGCAAGCTGGAGGCTTTCTATCTTCTTCTGTGCATGTTTCAGTTGAGTCTTTAGAGCATCATTATCTGCTTTCAGGGTATTTATTTCCTAAAGGGAAAGGAGAATGAGGTAAGTTAATAAAGCAACAATGAATAGTAAAATCAGTTACAGTATGAGGAGTACTACAGTTGATTGGCATCTCTTATTCACTGTGGCTGAGAATTAAAAACTATTTTCAAAACAGGTATTTTGCCCTGAATAGGAAATAACAAGTTAAATATCAAATGATCATGTGCAAACAGCAATTAGTTTTCGTTACTCATATCAAAGATGTGAGTGGCAGAATAAACCATTCCTGAGCGATAGGTGACTAATGACAAAACCTTTGGATGTTGTGAAGCAGGAGACCTAAACTTGGCAGAAACAGAGTCTGTGTTCAGGTTTAAGGAATGAAAGCAGTGTCTCAGAATACTGTAATATGAGATATTACAGTTCATTTAAAATCCTCCTCCCCAAATCACCGAAAACTAATGGACTCTTGATAAAGATAGGAATTTTATTCTTCACTCTAAACTGAGATCTAGTTATCTAATTTTGAGTGATTTAATTATAAGGCAGCAGTTGGTTTCCAGTCTTTTTTTCAATTGAAATATATTTGACACATTGTGTAAATTAAAAGTGTACAACAGTTAATTTGATACTTATATATTGTAATATGGTTGCTATTGTAGCTATAATTAACACCTCTATCATGTTATGTAATCATCCTTTTTAGCTGGAATAATTAAGTTCTAGTTTCTTAGCAAATATGATGACTTTAATACAACATTGTTGTCTATACTCATTGCACTGTGCATTTCTAGGGCTTATTTACCACTTGTTCTTCGTTTGTACCGTAAACATCTGTCCTGTCCTCCAACCCCCATCACCTGGTAACCACCATTTTACTCTCTTTTTACAAGTTTGGAAAATTTTACATATGTGATAAAATACAGTATTTGTTTTTCTCTGATTTATCTCACTTAGCATAATGTGCTCAGGGTCCATCTATGTTGTCACAAATGGCAAGATTTCATTCTTTTTTATGGCTGAATAATATTCCACGCCACATTTTCTTCATTTATCAAGTCAGTGGACCCTTAGGTTATTCTGAATCTTGGTTATTGTAAATAATGCTGCAGTGAACATAGTAGTGCATTTGTTTTTGAATTAGTGTTTTTGTTTTCTTCCGATAAATACCCAGACGTTAAATTGCTGGATCATATGGTATTTCTATTTTAAATTTTTTGAGGACCCTCCATAGTGTTTTCCACAGTGGGTGTACCAATTTACATTCCCACCAACAGTACACAAGGGTTTCCTTTTCTCCACATCCTCATCAGTACTTGTTTCGGCTATCTTTTTGATGATAGCCATTCTAATAAGTGGTGTTTCATTGTGGTTTTGATTTGCATTTCCCTGATGATTAGTGATGTTGAGCATCTTTTCATGTACCTCTTGGCTATCTGTGTGTCTTTGGAAAAATGTCTATTAAGTTCTGCCCATTTTAAAATTGGATTTTTTTTGTTATTAAGTTGTATGAGTTATTTATATATTTTGGATATTAACCCCTTATCTGTTACATGGTTTGTAAAAATTTTCTCCCATTCTCTAGGTTGCCTTTGTTAATTGTTTCTTTTGCTGTGTAAAAGCTTTTAAGTTTGATATATGCTCATTTGTTGACTTCTACTTTTGTTGTTTGTTTTTGGTGTCATATCCAAAAAATCATCACCAAGACCAGTATCGAGGAACTTCTTCCCTACATTTTCTTCCAAGAGTTTTATAGTATCAGGTCTTATGTTTAAGTCTTTGATCCATAGTGAGTTAATTTTTGTGAGTGGTGTAAGGTGTCCAGTTTCATTGTTCTGTGTTTTTCCAGTTTGCCCAACATTTGTTGAAGGGAGGATATTTTCCTCATTGGGCGGTCTTGCCTCCCTTATCGAATATTAGCTGACTGTGTAAGCAAGGGTTTAATTCTGGACTATTTTTTCTCTTTCATTGGTCTATATTTTTGTGCCAGGACTATACTGTTTTTATTACTGTAGCTTTGTAGTATAGTTTGGAATCAGGAGGTGTGATACCTCTATCTTTGTTCTTTTTTATCAGGATTCTTTGGTTATTAAGGGTCTTTGTGGCTCCATACAATTTTTAGGATTGTTTCCATCTTTGTGAAAAGTGCCACTGGTATCTTGATGGGGATTGCTTTGGGTAGCGTGGACCTTTTAATGATATTAATTCTTCTAATCCATGAACACAGGTGTCTTTCCATTTGTTCATGTGTTCAGTTTCTTTCAGCAAAGTCTTGTCATTTTCATTGTATAGATCTTTCACTTCCTTGGTTAATTTATTCCAAGTATTGTTTTTGATGCTGTTGTAAATGGGATAGTTTTCTTTTTCAGATGTTTCATCCTTAGTGTATAGAAATGCAGCTGATTTCTATATATTGATTTTGTATCCTGCAACTTTACTTCCAACAGTTTTTTGGTTGAGTCTTTGGGATTTTTCTATATACAAACTCATCTGCATTTAATAATAGTTTTACTTCTTTACCATTTTGGATGACTTTTTTTTTTTTGCCTAATCACTCTAGCTAAAACTTCCAGTATTATATTGAATAAGAGTGTTATGAATAGGCATCCTTGTCTATTTCTGATTTTAGAAGAGCTTCAAATTTTTATCAAGTGTAATGTTAGCTGTGGGTTCGTTATATATGGCCCTTATTATGTTGAGGTATGTTCCTTCTCTACCCAATCTACTGAGTTTTTTTTTTTTTTTAATCATGAAGGGATGTTGTATTTTGTCGAATGCATTTTCTTCATTTATTGAGATCACGATTTTTACTTTTCATTTTAATGTGATGTAATACATTTACTGATTTGCATATGTCAAACCATGCTTGCATCCCAGGGATAAATTCCACTTAGTCATGGTGTATAACCCTTTTTATATGTTTTTGAATTAGGTTTGCTAATATTTTGAGAATTTTAATATCTATATTTGTAAGTGATATTGGTCTGTAGTTTTCTTGTGGCATCCTTATCTGGCTTTGGTATCTGGGTAATGCTGCCCTCATAGGATGAGTTTGGAAGTTTTCCTTCTCAGGTTTTGAAAGTTTTAGAAGGACTGGTGTTAATTCTTCTTTGAATGTTTGGTAGAATTTGCTAGTGAAGCCATCTTGATCCGGGGGTTTTCTATGTTGGGAGGTTTTTCATTATCAATTCAATCTCTTGTTATTAGTCTATTCAGATTTCTGTTTCTTCCTGATTCTGTCTGGGTAGGTTGTGTATTTCTAGAAATTTATCCATTTCTTTTAGGTTATCTAATTTGTTGACACATAATTGTTCATTATAGTCTCTTACGGGTTTTATGTATTTGTGTAGTAACAGTTGTATTGTCTCCTTTTGCATTTCTAATTTTATTTGAGTTTTTTTTTAGTCTGGCTAAAGGCTTGTCAATTTTTTTTTGAAGAACCAGCTTTTAGTTTTGTTGAGTCTTTATTTTTCTTGTCTCTATTCCATTTTTTTTCTGCTCTGATCTTTATGATTTCCTACTCTCTACTGACTTTGGGCTTAATTTGTTATTAGTCCCTTGAGGTGTACAGTTAGGTTATCTGAGATCATTCTAATTCTTAAGATATGCACTATTGCTATAAACTTTATTCTTAGAACTATAGCCCGTAAGTTTCGATATGTTGTATTTCCTTTTTCATTTGTCTTGAGATTATTTCCATTTTGATTTCGTTGACCCATTGGTTGTTCAGAATTATGTTGTTTAGTTTCCATATATTTGTAAGTTTTCCAGCTTTTCTTTTGTTGATTTCTAGTTTTATACCATTGTGGTCAGGAAAGATAGTTTGGTGTGATATCAGTCTTTAAATTTTCTGAGACTTGTTTTGTGCCTTATATTGCTCTATCCTGGAAAATGTTCCGTGTGCACTAAAGAAGAGTATGTGTTCTGTTGCTCTTAGATGGAATTTTCTCCATGTGGCTGCTAAGTCAATTTATTCTAGAGTGTGGTTTAATTCCAACATTTCATTGTTAATTTTCTGTCTGGATAATCTATACATTGCTGACAGTGGGGTAATGAAACCCCCTATTGTTGTATTGTCTATTTCTCCCTTTCGATGTTAGTATTTGCTTAATATATTTCATTGCTGCAGTGATGGTTGCATATATATTTACAATGATTACACTTTGTAATACTTTTTAAGCCTTTATAAATTAACTGGTTAACACCAATCTAATAGTTACAGTTTTCTAATTCTGACTTTACTTTTCACCTCTGCTAGAGTATTGTCGGAAAGTAGGAGATAGGATAACAGCAGGTGTCTAAATACTCTATTCTGTATTGTCAATAACCAATGTACTTCTTTTTGTTAGAGTACAAAGTACATGGTGAGCTGTGAGTGGGGCTATTGAATTACAGATAGACAAGTCATTGTAAGCATTTTAGTTAACTGGAAAGTGAGACTTGTTCTTTTAAAATGTAATAGTGTTTTCCCTAGGTTTCTATGACAAGGATAAAAGTAGAGGCAACTGGGAAGATGGCGAGAGGCTTTAGGAGCTCTGGTATTACTGGGTGGGAATTGTTTTGGACCTAACGCATCTGAAATCTTTCTACCACCTTCTTGCAGCAAGAAGTCATTGTTGCCAACTACATGGTACCTTTTCATGCGCATGTAAAATGTCAAGATCTGAAGCAAACAGCAGGGAGGGCATGGAAACCCAGCCCTGTATTTTATAGAGCACCAAACAGGTCATAGAGTTTAACAGCTAATGTAAGAAATATCTGGGACTAGAAATGCCAATCTTTGTCCTCAAGGCCAAAGTTCTTTTCTCTCTATTGAGTTCACTCTTCAAAATTTCTTTCATTTTTCTTAAAAGTTGTTCTTGGCAATTTCTACCCCTAAAAAGAGAGGGCTTTGTGTAACCCACATTTTGCCATCTGATTGACTTTAGTCTTAAAGCATGTCTTAAAAATACTCTGAGCAAGAGAGTACTTTTCATCCAGAAAATCTGTTCTTTTTCTCTATGTTCCTCCTAATATTATATTCTTTGTTCCAGGTACCAAACTAAGGGTTTCTTCATGTATATCTAACTCAATTCCTGGGAGTCTGACAGGGAGGGTACAACATTGAGAACAAGGTAGGAAATCTTGAGACCTTCTTGTACAGTTTCACTGTGTAGAATTACTAAAGGAATTCTACGTAGGTGAATATTGGTTTTACATTTATACTGATAGGTCTCTAAAAACACATTGTCAACCTGGATGTTTTGAAACAAGGCAGATAGTCATTCCTCCCCTTTAATAAAGCAAATGATAATGTTGGATCTGATATATCCTTGCTTGCCTGTTATTGGTAAGAAACTACTGTCCCCATAAGAAGTCTAAGTCAGCTCAACCCGAGTTTTGTACTCTTAAACAAAAAGAAGTACATTAGTTAATTGAATCCACAGAATTCAGTATTTGAACAACTGACTGCCGTTTTCTCTCTTCCTCTCAAACCTTTGGCCACCATATTCCCAAACTCCTATTTTGCCTCCATTAGGTACCTTATTAGATATTGGGAGCTGCTTTTTTGTTAGGCTCACAATATCAACAGTTGTTACCATTTTATAATTATATTCAACTGTGCATTGGCCAGCTACTATAGATTTAGCTATTCTTTCTACCTGAGATGTTGTTAGAAAAGATTTCCCTCATATTAAAAGGGAGGCTTTTTCCTTTGGTGAGGTAAAATATACTTTTTTTTTTTTCTTGGTAGCAAAAAGATCACCTACCTTCTCTTAAGAATATACCTAGGCAACCATGAATGTCTTCAAACATAATCCTGATGACTAAATTAACAAAGACCTCTAAGGAAGAAGGATTTAGGCAAGTTCATTTGAAGTTCCATCTAGAAAAAGGATGTGGTGTCAGCACAGTAAAACTGATGAGTAGAAACTGGTTTTTCTCAAGGAGCCTATTGTGAACAGTGCTTTTGGCCCTGGCACCAACACTTTAAAATGGTACCTTTATGGTAATAAGGAGCCCTGTATATCTTGTTCTACTCATGTAATGTGAACCAGGGCCCCCATTGGTTTCTTTGAGAGAAAGCCAGAATCCTTTTTTTCCATCCTTATCCTGCTAATAATCGACCTGGTCTGACTATTCAGTTCACATACCCTCCCCTGGTTTAGCCCCACTTCTCTCAGAAAGTCTGAAAAAAAAAAAAGGTACCTTTTCCAGCTCTTGGTAAGTTGGGAGTCTGAGGTGACGGAGGTCCTCCTTTGATTTTATGAGGGAGTCTTTATTCTCCCACTTGACAAAAGCCCGCTTTCTGACCAATATTGGGCTGGGGCATGGAGATGTGGGACTGGGAAGCACATACAGAGTGTCCTGGGCTGTCTTCCTTGGGGAATACAATGTGAAAGGACCAGAAGGGCCCTCACTGCCAATCCAAGACAGTAATTCGGTCTGGGTGGCCTTGTGGGCGACAGTCCTCTTCAGCCGAACAGAAATCTTCTGTGAGGATACGCCCATGAGCATGATGGTCCGATCCTTACTTTCCTCACTTTGTTCTACAGCCTCCTCGTTAGGGAACGTAAAAGATCCTTCCTCAGGTGCTGCGGGAAGATACATGACATATTAGTACTCTAGAAAAGCAGAGACTCAAGATTGACACATTAGTTTCAAATGAGATCTTTCTTATTGTTACAGGAATTCCAAAGGTCTAAAATGGACTCATTTTCAGGCACTCAATTTGGAGAGTGAAAGGGGCAGCCTAGTGTCAGGCTACGTCCTCCCCGGGGGAAGGGCATCTTTTTCTATTTGCACAAAGGTTTTCTAGAGGATTTTTATTTCTGCAGAAAAATTGAAGCGCCTGCATCAATGCTGTAAAGTTTCATAAATTAGAGCAGGGTCATTATATAGACAGACATGCCTTATAAATACCTTCAGTGCACCCTGGGATTTGGGAGCTGTCAGCACTCAGGTTTTGGTCCTGAAACAGGTGGCCTTCAACAGCTGGTAGGACTTCGCTATGGCACCTATTTTCCCTTTTGTACAGTGGACACAGCTTAACTGTGAGAGGGCATTTCTAGCTGTGTGCAGGTAATCAAAATGTATTTCCCTGGTTTGATACTGATTGAAAGAGGAGTCATTCTTTGAACCAACACCCCTGCACAGCCTAGGTATTAACCAAAAGGATTAAGTTCCTGGAAAAATAATAGCAGTGGATATATTTTAGATCTACGTTTACTGCTAAGATTCAGCAGTAATTTTGTGTTGTGCAATTTTATTAAAATGTTTTATATAGGTCGTTAGTCATTACTAAACTTTCTAGCCAAGACAGTGGCCTGGTGTAGTCAAAATGACTTCTGGACACGAACAAAAGTTCTCTAATTAGCATTTGTAATCTGAATTGGCAGTTTTGATATGAGAAAGCTTACAAAGATCCTAGTTTAATTTTTTCCTAGGGGAACATAATTAAACATTAGGTGTTTACCTAAATCTCAGACTTATAATTACACTGTCTTTTTTGGAGGAATATTGTGGGTGATATTTTTGAAGCTCTATTTTCCAACTTTTCTGTAGCAGTATGCTCCTTTTACCAGCTGAAATTATAAATACTTCTATTATTTAGGTCAAATTCCTAGACATACAGAAAGGTTGGGATAGATTCTTATACATTCTATCTTTTTAGGAGCAAAAAGAATAGCAAATAAAAAAGCAACAGAAAAGGAGTCCTTAAAATGGGAGGAAAAGTTCCAGGAGACCACAGTGTTATAAAAGTCAGGAGAGTTGTCTATTTTAAGAAAGGAAAAGTAGGTAAGTTTAAAAAGGTACAAGCTCCTTTCCAGGCTTCACACTGAAGCCCCACACCTTTATGTTGTTCTCTGCCACTTTTCTTCCATGAAAATTTACATTTTAAATGACAGAATTGTGTTGCCCAAAGGTGATGTATAACTCTTAAAATATAGGCTGCATAATATACAGGCATGTCTTCCACAGTGGTATCTGTGCTGGTGATGTCTATTAAGAAAGGGAAGGATAAAGGTAATCTTTCTTCCCTGGAAACTTTATCCTTTCCATTTCACTTTACAAGAGGAAAGTTCCAGCGCCTACTTACCGTGGAGCAGATCTTTGGCTCCCAGTGAGCAAAGGTTAGGAGTTGGCCCCACAGAGGTGCTGTTCTCTGTGGGAGCTGCTGAGTTCTTGGCTCGCTTCTTGCACTCAAACACAACCAGATCTTTGCATTGTTTGTGGCAGTTCATCCCACAGTCTGTGGAAAAGACACCCTGGTCAGGAAGTCTTTCACTTTCTTCCAGGGTCTCAAAACCACATTTATGCAGTATTATTTTGTCACACATGCTTGTCCCATCTTTTGGGACTAGGATACCCAACATTCCTAATGAACTTAGCATTTTCACTTGGTCAGCCCCTGGACTTCTCAGTCTTGTTGCCCTTATCATAAGTCTCTGAAGTGGAAGTGGCACCTTGGGAAGAGGTGGTGTCTTGGTTATCTCATGCATAGTGCCTACTCAAAGGAGACCCTCTGGAGCTTCCAGCTGTTAGGCCATATTATTTTTCCCTTAGAGTAAAAGGCCTCCTTTTTTTTTACTCCTGAACGTTTCTAGTCACAAGGAGGTATCTACTGATAAAAGGGAAGCTGACAAGGGCCTTTGGTTAATCACTTCTTTTCCCAAAGGGATTCTGTACCTTTCATTCGTGATCCACATTTCCATGACCATATTAGAGCATAATCTACCAGCCATCCCTATTTCTAGGGCAAACAAGGCAGAGAGAGGATCTTGTAAGGGGAAGCTGCATAACTGGTCACTCAGGCACTCCTCTCTACACTTTGTGGTGGCAGTCCCTCTTAGGAGGTAGTCTAGGGAAGCAAGTTTGGGGATGAGGCTGTGCCGAGAAGCTGTGGAATGAATGGACAACAACTATGGGTAAACTGCGCTTTATAGAAGAGTCCTAAGACAAGGGAAAACAATGCAGTTGACCAAGTTGAGCCTTACCTTTACATCGATATCCTTGTTTGATCACTCCCCAGAGCTATGAGACAAACAAGACAGAATGCACCACACATCATTCATATGTCTGGTAGGAGGCTAGGCACTGACATTTATTCTTGATTTTTCCTCATTCTACTTTATACCTCAAGTGGGAGGGAAACCTCATTTCTCTCTCACATGTCCCTCCTGACCTTAAATTGAAAACAGGAAAATTTTGTGCGGATAAGAGTCAGATGTTCTTGAGAAGCTCATTATAGTGGATTTATGAGCCAGGCCTGAAGTGGATGCATCATAGGACAAATAGGCTTCTCAGGGACTCCAAACTAAACAAGTATCTAGATAGCTGGGGTCAGGAGTGGGACAGAGCCCAGAAGACTTCTTAAAGACAGTACCTTTTGAAGTGGGAAGGGGTGAGGATGTCTCATTTCCCTTTTCTAACATTTGGAACAGCATATGAATATAAGACTCAAAAAGTATATCCCAAATTCAGCATTTCTTTACCATTTATCTAAGGCCTCAATGCACCAGAGGGAAAAATAAATCAGGAAGGAATGGGAAAGGATGAATGCAAGTAAAAATCATGCATTTGCAGACTACGTTATTTTACGTGTTTGCTTAGGCTCTAAGCTGGGATAAACTGATGAGGATTGTGAGGTCTGTGCCTGGCTTAATCATTTAATATTTTGTACCCTTCCCCAAGTTCAACCATGAAGCACTCGAACTTACAAATCCAGCACAGTTGTCACAGAAAGTGGGCTTCAGGTAGGTTGTCTCTTGAAAGTTGTGAGGAAAGCCCAGGCCGAGCTTAGAGTAGATTGAGCTGGCCCTCATGAAGTAGGCTGTGATCTCGTCCCTGCTGATAAGGCCTTCCCTGGCAGCAAATGACATAGACAAGGATGTGAGGGGGCAAGCAAGGGTAGCCTCTAGCCTTAGAAACTCACCTTTCTTTTTTATCCTTCAGTGGTAGCATAGTATTAACTGACAGTTACCTACGTGAGCCCTCCTCTTAGTAAGTGTACAAGAATAGGATGTAATAGGTGAGAAGGGATTACTCATTTTTATGGAGTTGTTCTTTAGCTAAACTAGGTTTTCTTAACTGCTATCTACGGGACTTGAAAAATAATGGAAATTGTGTGTATAGAAAAAGCTTATGCTCCAGTTTCTGACTTCAGACAGCACATAATACATAACTGGAATTTACCAATCATACATTTAGTTATATATAGAGGACAAAGATTAAAACTTATATAACGTTGCAAAAAGTAAATATGCAAATTATTAATACTAGTTTCTCACAATCTGTAAGGACAAAACAAGAAGGAAAACTAAACTTCTTAAAATTTATAGTTGACTATTCCTAAACTGGTTTCTTGGTCTATTGTGGTCCAAACCAAAGTCAGACAGGCATTTATTTGATGATTATTGCTCTCTTAGCCTCAGTATCTTAGCTCGAATAGTCATTTACGATCTATCACAGCAACAACACATCCGAGTTTATAGATTCTTCTAGTGACACACCCATAAACTGTTCTTTCCAAAGGTCTCATGACCACATATTCCTATACATAGACCCTCACCTGTCTTTGTCCATCACACAGAAAGAAAATGGAAAACTTGCAGCAATCTTTTCAAACTCTTCCTGAGAAATGTATCCATCTTGGTCATGATCATAGTTCTTGAAGACAGACTGTGAAAAAAGGAGTTTCTCTGATTATCAAAGAGAAACCAGTCATTTCTCCCTTTGGCCAAATGCCAAAGGGGCTGGAGTGGCTGATAAAAGCCTCTCCTCAGCCTGATGAGAGGAACAAGGAAATGTGTTCCTTAAGCTGCTGCAAAGGTACATGGGTCACATCCCAGATCTTTGCTAGTACTGGAATTTGGAGGGTGGCCAGGAGTTTTTGACCCATTAGCATATCAATTATGCCATACCCTGGCTGGTGGACTCCTTGATTGTTGCACAGAGGGCTGTTCTACTTTGCCCTTTCATTGCTCAGCTTAGATTACACCTTCCCTCTGAAGCAGTGCCCAAATTTTTCAGTTTTAGATTCTCTTTATTACCTTTACTTATACTCAAACCTTTTCTAGCACTTCTCTGCCCTTTAAATATATACTTTCCTGCTAGGTCTTTAAGAGGAGGCATACCTTCCTCCACACGAGGCCAAAGTGTGCTGGCAAAATATTACTTCTTCTGCAGCCACAATATGAGAAGTGGTTCCCTGTGTTCAGTAAGAACAAGTTTCAAGTCTCTCACCTTATGTTTCTACCACTGCCCCCCGCAATATCCAAAACTAAGCCAGGCAGTGCCTTGCTTTCGTCTGCTGAAACACAGCTGTACTTACATCCACCATCCTCTGGACATGTTTGCTTATAGTCTTTGGGTCAGGTTTGGGAGATATTCCAGAGGCCCAGTCCACTACTACTGGTGGCTTTGAAGGTGTTAGTGGCTAAAATGAAATAATCAGAGACATCCCCATGACTATAATAGTCTACAGCTCTTCCCTTTCTCATTACCTGACAGTTGCAACCTTCCCCCACCCCCCGCCAAATGCTGTGTGGCAAGGAGCAGAGAGCCCACATGTCACTGAATTTAGAACAGTAATCTTGGCTAACACAAGTATTTCACTTTACAGTTTATAAAATACTCCTCACATACATTATTTCCATCTACAGATAATTTAAAATTCTTAACTTGAGTTTTAATTTCCTCTCCATTAAACTTTTTGTCAAAGCTATCAACAAAGTAAAGTGAATTACTTAACTTTCTTCTCTGTTCTCTACTTACTATTTAGTAGAGATGTGGATAAAGTGAGAAATAGATAAAAGGCAGGAAGACAAGAAATAAATCTGAGGCCTAGACAAGCTGGAATGAAATATACTCTCAAAAAGTTGACTTGGTCCAAATTAAAATCTCTTCTAAAAATGGGAGAAGGCACCCTTTCCACTGAAATACTTGAAAACCTACCAGATACTTTCAGTGAACATCTTTCATTACAATTGGAAGCTAGAACTTGATCTTCCTTATAGAAACAATGAAATTTAGCCACCTGACAGGTCAACTGAATTTCTTATGTGGAGGCAATTCTCTCCCCTTGAATACCACTTGTTTTGAGGCTGAGAAGCTTCCCAGGATACTGGGGATTACTGGTCCTTCAGAAGACTGAAATGATTAAACCTGCCAGTAGGAGAGGCAGGGCCAGATAACCTGTGTAGCTCCTGCTATGCAGTGCCAACTGTGTGCTATTTGAGGACTTCTCTGCACAAAGGGTCAAAAGACTCAGAAGATTGCTCTTTCTGACCCCGATGACTACAGCATGATGGGGCTTATCTCCCCACTAAGCTGGAAATCTTCTGAAGTTTAGCTTCCGACAATATGCATATTGCTCTCATCATCATCAACAAATCACAGAAGGAAACGACAATGTGGGGACACTTCATAAAAAATAGGAGGGAGATGTCACTCCAGCTCACGATACTGTTTCCCTTCTCTAATTTGTAAACCACTGACTGATTCCACTACTCATTCTGATGCTTATGGCATTTAGTAATTTACCATTCACACATCAATCTTATCCCTTCACCCGCAGGCTCTTTATGGTCTGGAACTATTTCTCATATATAAGTTGAAGCTTTACTTCTAGAACAAAGTTAGGCACATAGTAGAAACATAGTATGCTTATTAAACTGAATTAAAAGTTCCTTCAGATGAGTGGCTTGTAAAGCGCCTGTTACCTGCAGGAGTCTTAATATGACAGACTTACTGGGGCTTTGTGGTTCCTTGGTTCCCGGGCATAGGAAAGCTCATAGATTTCATCCTCAGTGTAGTAGAGATCTAAAGATAACTGCAGATTAAAGTAGAACAGGGTTAATTGCTAGAATGCTGTCTGTCTTCCCCAGGGCTGATCTCTTTCTTCCTTAGTTCTTTCTCTCCAGTGGTTTAGTCTTCTAGGTGCTTAGTAGTTTGTTTTTAAAATTCACAAAGTTTGGAGGGTGTAACACTTACTGTTGTAATAGCTCAAGCATTAGTTCCTTTAAAATGTTTTTAAATTTTGGAGAAGTCTCAAGATGCCCTCATTTAAACTATAATATTTAAGCCTTTAGCCTTTATATGGAACTTAGGCTCTATCTGCTCAGGTAGTCTGCACTTTACTTGTTCTCTCCCAAAGCAGACAGATGATCTGAAAGGATAGTTTGCATGGCCTGCTACTATTAAAATTTGATTCTAGCAACAGAACCAAGCTTAAATAATAGGTATTAAATGATATTAAGAGTTAATGAGTTTCATATATTTTAGAACTATACAATTTTAGAGGAGAAAGGTCTTAGACCTTAACCAAGAGTCTATGAATAGGCTTCAGGAGGTTCAGAATGCGAAAACATGCGTATTTTTACATATATGGATTATGCATATTTTTCTGGGAAGAATGTTCACAGCTTTCATCACAGGATTTCTGATTCTCAGAAGTTAAGGTTTTGTACATCTTTCCACAGGTGATGATGTCTAAGGCTGAGACCTGCCAAGGTCACCTGACTAATTACCAAAAGGTCTAGGATTAGACACCAGCTGGAGGTAAAGCCTGAGGCTCTATTAGAATCATTCTCTGATGTAGAAAGAGGCTATAAAAGTTATTCCATTCTGCAAAAGAAGATTAAAAATTGTATAATTTTAGAAGTGAAAGAGAAATTGGAAGTCATCCCAGACACTAATCCCTCTGATTTTACAGAGGAGGAAACAGGTCTTAGAGTTATGTTTCCAGTCACACAACTGGCGTGACTACAGAACAAGTCTGGCTGAAAGGAAGTCATCTAGTCTCCCCCTGCGCTGCTACAAGTGTCCACCTTCCCTTGGCTTAAGTGCTTCCAGGAGCAGAGATCTAAGCCAGTTGTGGTAAGACCCAAATAATGAACCTGTTTTACTTTTTGTTACTCACTCACTGCCTTGTCCTTTTTTATGAGTACACACTGTCTCCATCTCTTACCAAGCCTGTATCCTGATTTGCTGTCAGCTCCTTCCAGAAAGCTTGGGGCTGCTTTTGCAGGGAGAAGAAAATACTTCTAGGAGTTCAAAGAGCATACTGCTTAAGAGCTGCTGGAGTCCACCGTCTGGGTCTGAATCCAGGCTCAGCTGCTTAATAATGTGTGGTCTTCTTGCAGGTTATGTCTTTGTGCCTCAGTATCCCCATCCACAAAATGGAGATACAGTATTTGCTTCATAGAGTTTTTATGAAGATTAACTGAGCTAATACTTGGTAGGGTGCAGAGATTGGCACCTGGTACACAGTGCTTAGTAATTATCTCCTAAGTGAGACTCACCGTCAGCAGGTGCACCAAGTCCTTGTTGGCTTCCAAGGGTGGGGCTACCTCTTGCAGCTGGACCAGTTCGTTGATATGATTGTAAAGGGCCAGCAGCTTGTGGACGTTCACCTTCCCATCCTCCAGATAGTCGGGCATGGCTTCGTATAGGGAGATGAGGTCCTTGAGGTGCACCCCCAGGATGGGGATCTTAAAGTGGGTGCACTCCCCATAAGCTCGCCGGTAGTTGTCATAGTTTCTGCAGGAGGACAGCAGCTCAGTCATCTCACCCAGGACCTATAAAACAGAAGAGACCCAATCTCAGGTACCCTCCAGGCAGAGTATATTGCCTGCAATAGCCACATTGTTTACTCTCAGCCTCTACTATGATTCACCCCATCTTTATTCTGACCGGCAAGGATTGATTCATCTAAAAGGTGCAGATTATGACTCCTAAATGAAAACTCCAGCTTATGTCAAATGTCACTGTTCTTTGATTCTGCTACATAACTGAAAAAGTTTAAATGAGGTCATATTTATCATTTTTATACTAAAATTTTTCTTTTAAAAAATAAGCCCCTGATATAAAAAGTAAAGAGTATATAGTGAATAGTAAGTGTCCCTCCAGCCACTGTCTCTAAGCTATGCATTTCCTTTCCCTAATGTCTTCTGAATGCTTCTAGAGCCACTGTACTACTTAACATTTGAAATGTGACGTTAGAAGTGCTGGCTATGTGCTGGCCATGGGGAAAAGCATGTGTTTTAATTGTGGAACTTCGGTTGTCTATTGCATGTTCTTATTCTTTATGCTTTGCTATATAGGCCTTATCTCAATGGTTTTCAAAACAGGCCTGTGTTTAGGAAGCATTTGACATTCCATTCACTGACTAAAACCCTAAACTAGAAAGACTGAACAGACTAGATCAGTTCCTAGCAAAGGATATGCAAGAGAATGAGGCAGAGGGCCCAGGGAGCTCTTCCTTAGAGCTCACCCCATGCCTCGGCCTTGGAAGGGGCAGGCTGTTCACCAGCACAAAAAAGGAGCAGCCAAATCTGGTGTTCTTTTCAAATATGCCTGGTTCAAGTCAGCAAGCAGTTCACAGAACTTCATTCCCCACGTGCGATGACCAGTTTTTTCACAAGCAAAGACAGCAAGACTGTCTGCCAATCATGTTACAACACAAAATGACAATTTAAAACACTGCTGGAAACTCTTAATAAAACTGTGGCCTAAGAAGTACCATTTCTCCCCAGTGAAGAACTTGAGGTTTTAGTTATCCTCTCTCCGTCACTTTGAGTTGGTAAGGGTGCCCTCTTGTCACACACCTCTAGCAAACAGTGCAGGTGACTGAAGTGTAGATGGTGCTCACAGATGAGACTAACAGCATAAATGAGATATTTTTTTCCTTAGAAGGTAAAACTACTTGGGGGACACTTGCTTCAACCCTGGACTAATTCACTATATAGAGCACCCTGAGGGGCAAGCAGCTACAGACAAGGAAGCACTGCTTTGGGGGACCCCAAGTTGAAGAGGAGGAGCAAGCCAAATAAGTGAAAAGACACAAAGGCATGTTAATCTCTGTGACTGTTTCCCTCTGTCACCTCTGAGACATGGGCAATCTCTTCAGATCTGCCTGGTCTCAGCAGAGCTATTAGAGAATTATAAAGTGACCAGACCATAGGAGGTGGGGGTGGGGCAGCATCCTCAGAGTCCAGTATTGTGAGATCAGGAATGATTAATAAGAAAATCCCAAAAGGAGGCTAAACACCTGGGAAAAACATGGGACAAAAAGGCGCAGACATCTCTCCCTGAGCAGACGATCTCTGTTCCAGCTTGAGAGGATTGGGGTTTGAGTTTAGGAAGGGAAGGCTGGTTGGTCCTCTTAAATGAGATGAAAATGCTCAAAGAGCAGTTGTAGTTTAACCCACACCATACATAGTTGCGCTGATATCTTCAGTATGTCATAGTAGCTTATATTTCTAACAGCCTTATGTTATAAAAGATTAAAGTCTATTCTGTAAAATCTAAGAATGTAGAAAAATGCATAGGATATTGAAGAAAAATATTCCTCAATGAAACACTATTACAAAACGGCACCTGAAAAGCTCATTTCCAATTATCTGGGGGAAATTCACCTATCTAGAATGTCATTCTCCAAGGAATCTTGAAAGCTAGGGTTTCTTTTTGATTTGTTTTCTTAACTCATATTTTGCATTCCTATTTGGAGTAAAACAGGTTGTTCAACTGTTTACAGGGTAATTTCTGAGTTGTAAAAACTCCATGTTCCTTAACTGTATTCCCGCATTCAATCTTGGCTGCCATAGTCAGACAGAAAGAAAGTGCAAGGACCCTTTTTTCTTGCATCTATGCTGGAACTGTAGCAGCAGGCAGTAACTGCTCCAGGTTTGTCAAATAGATGTGTTTTTGAAAGCTAGGATTTTACTGTGTCACTATATAACCACACTTGACATGCATACTGAAACACTATTCCTTTCTGGAAAACATTCTGGAGCGAAGGAGTCAGTATTAAAGACGGTGACTGTGAATATTCAGTGGCATGTGAGCATGGGAAACAGGCACACATCGTTTCAGCTGACCAGCAGTGACACTGAGGCAAGATTGAATTACAGTCACTCTCAGATCTATGATGTCCCCATCCTGTGGGTTTTCTTGAGGTTTGCTTCCTTGATATTTTCCCTGGTTGACAGGATAATGTGGTTCGCAAATGCTTCCTGGGTTGCCCCTCAAGGATGAAATGTTGATGTGGGTCCTAGGAATGATGCTGAGGAGCCCAAGAGGAGACAATCACACTGACCTTATTGATTTCAGGTGGGACGTGCGAACTTGTCTCTTTGAGCCTGGAGATTGAGCTGTGACATAGCCCACCTATCACAGCCATCAGTGTATTGAAGTTCTGTAGTTGGTGGAGCTTCTATGACACACAAAACAGATGAGAACAGAGTCACTGTACCTGTCAGTTATAGGTGAGTTTAGAGGCTGCCTCTTGTCTCTGTGCCCCGTCTTCCTTATACTGTTCAAAGACTAGTGCTCAGATGTTGTAATTTCCTGTTCGTTTCAGGCTAGCAGGTCTCAAGTCTAGCAAGGCTTCCCTCCCTTTGTGGTTCTTTAGGCCACCATCTAGATCAGTGGTTTCTAAGAATCACCTGAAGTACTTGTTTAACACAAAGATTTCTGGACCCAAGCCCAGATATTCTGATTGCCCAGATCCGGAGTTGAGCTTAGGGATGTGCTTTTAATATACTTTTAGTTAATATCAGAGCAGGTGGTCCATGTACCAAACTTTGAGGACCACTGGTCTGGACTATCTAGGGCTGGAAAAATGCATCATTAAGTACAATCTTTTATATCCTCCATACCAAATTAACCAGACATTTTTGAGGGCAAGGACTTTGTCTTATTCTCCTGTGCAATTCCAGTGCCTATATAGGTCAGTAATTGGTATAGAGAAGCTAGAATCTCTGGTGAATTTCAAATACATGTTCAAATTTAAGTGGTCCTCAAATAACACTGCAGGTCCTCAAATAACATTGCAGGTCCTCAGATAACATTGTTTCAACGTCATTTCGTTATTATGTTGATAAGTTGCCACAGGAACCTAACTTGTTTATATCAATTAGCCTCTGGTAAGTTGGTTTCATTATCTGTCATTTTGCTTAAAGTTCAAAACCTATTAATGACCTTAAGTGAGGACTTACTGTACTGTTTTCCTCTTATCAAATGTTTACACATTGTCCCTCAAATATTAAACCCAGACATTTAACATAGCATGGGCTCAAAGAACTAAGACAAATTCAGCTCCAGGAAAACTTGGAATTACCCTTTTCTTTACCATGCAGACCAGACTTGGGAAACAATGCAGGCTGATAAGCATCTTAAAAATGTTAAAGATCTAAACATCTAAAACCGTATCCTGACCCCTAAGATGGTCCTCACCATATTGCCCTTATGTGGGAAATAGAAAAGCTGCCATATCTAGACCTCAGGACAGTTTAAAACACACTAATCCCACCATGGTTCAGGAGGGAAAAGACTCGCCTCGGGGAGAGGGGATAATTTACCTCAGCCCAGGCCAAACTCTTGTTCCATGACTCACCTGAGCCACCTGGATAAACTTGATGAAGACTTCAGCTCGGAGCTGTGGGGTGGGGCGGCTGAGCACCATCAGCTGCACCCACTGGGAGATGCCGTTGCACAGGGCAATGGACCGCTCCATGGTGGGGTTCTCCTTCACGCAGCTGTTCACCAAGTAATTCTGATAATCGGAGAACTGGGGGGAAAAGAAACGCATCAGGATTGCTGCTCTGGTATTGTGGGAGATCCGAGGGGCATGTCGCCTCTGCTTAGCTGATGGCTCAGAACTGCTATGGGACAGAGGAGCTCTTGGCCTTCTACATGTCCTCTACTTGGCTAACAAAAATGGTGGGGAGAAAATCATATTCTACCCACAAAAGTCATTGGGCATAAGTGGATGTGTACCAGTTTATCCAACATGTCAGTTAATCCAAATATTGTATTTGGGTAGATATTGATACTTCTAAATTCTAAAGAATACAGAATAAAAGAAAGATCTCAGTACTAATTTCAGCTCTGCAGCTAAAGGGCAAAAAAAAAAATCACAGAAATTATCTTTTTCAACCCCCAAATATGCTCTCTCCATTTCTCTCCCTCCCTTCTCACCCTCTCCCCCAGCTGTTTTCTTAAGAATGAGATGATAAAATCTGACCTATCTAGCACATGGAATTGTTATGAAGATCAAACATGATCTTCAAACATGAAAGCACTTTAACTTTTCAAAGCTACATGAATGTGAGATGGTGCTAATAGGATACTTATTCACTGTATGCTAAAACAAACCTGTTTGGATTTCCTTTTAACTTGAATAGAGGCCAAGTGAATTGGATACATGAAACCTGGTTAGCTAATTTTGTGACCAAGGTTTCCCAACTGGACAATAGCACTGACTATGGTTGATGATGAAACGGCATATATAGAACTGGAACTGTCCCAGATCGCCGTATAAGTAATGATTATAGCTGTTGTGTCCCTGTCACAAACAATCCTCAAATAGGATAACCAAGAAGGAAGAGTAGTCTACCCATTCACGTGTTTCTATGGAAGTTTTTGGTGCTGCTCCCCAGCTATTTCCAGCTCCCTTTTGAAATCAGGTGTGATCATGTGGCATAGTTTAGCTAGTAGCACATTAGTGGAAACGATGTGACTCTGGAGGGGAAAGATACAAGAGCCAGTGAATGATCTGCTGTATTGCCTTTCCACTGCTGCAGAGTGTGTGGAAATTGGTGTCAAGGTGAAGCTTCCCGCATCTGGGTCCCTGAGGGACTGGTCAGCAGAGGCTCCTGATGACCCCTGTAGCTAGGTTAGTGTGAGTGAAAGATAAACTTTTGCTTTGTTAAGTCACTGAGATTGCTCGAAGGGGTTGTTACTTCATATACACGCCTCAGTTCTGCCTGACTGGTAATACATTGATGAGAACACTCACAACCTAAATAAAATAAATACAAATTAAGCCCTATTTTACTGTGCTGTGATTACTACTGGGTAGAAAACAATAAGTAGGACTAAACTATAGTCTTACTATAGTTTATACTATAGTAGTATAAAATTATACTCCTCAGAGACTCATAAAGCAAAAATCTCACTGGTTCTGAGAAAATACCCATGACTCATTCCAGGGGTATACATTTGTATACCTCTCCTGCTATAGGGAACATATTGAATTCGCGTGTTTTTTTTTTTTTTTAAAGAATCCCAGTAATCTCTATACCCCACCCCCCAAAGTATTATAATAAACAAGATATCAAATGCCACTCAGTTCACAGCAGGGAGAAAGTTCTGTCCGATCCCATGCTGGAGGGAAAATTATTGTTTGGGAAAACTGTTGAGAACTGTGTAGGAAAAGCAAAAAAGTCCCCCAGTCTTCTATGCTGGGGGGCCATGCCATTTAAAAGAAATGAAGGTTGGAGCTGATGTTTTCTTTTGCAAGTAGAACCCTGCCTCAACTGCAGGGGAGCACAGGCTCAGAGTGCTTGTTCTACTGATTTTTCACTTTGGCCTCCCTTGATCTGAGCACTGGCATCACGCAGAGGTCCTGCAGGCCTCACTGAGCAGCCCTGCCAGCTGGGCCTCAGCAGGGCTCAGATTTTCAGTGTGATAAATGGGTCCTTTCAGTGGCCCTCCCCGTGACAGGAAGGTACTGCCAAATGGAAACTTCCCAGGTGGCGCTTTCTAGTCTGGGCTTGTAGTTCTGTCTGGGGGTGCCAGTGAGGAGACTGGGGGGATAGTGCAGATTAATGCTTGGAGACATACTTCCAAATGGGAGCTGGGGTGAGGGGAGTTCCTGGTTAACTGGGCAAACAGCTTTGTGGAAAAAGGGCAGATGTCCATGTTGTGGGCGACAAGATGAAATATCCTCTTTAACCCGGTTTTCTGTAACCAGGTTTCCTTCCAGATATAATCAGGCTCAGTAAGTTGGGGCTAGGTGACTGAGGAAGGCATGTGACCCTAGCCCCAGCTCAGTCTAATAAGCTGCATGACCTTGTTCAAGCCATTCTTCTGGGCCGCCAGCCACTCATCCAGGAACAGAGGTCATTTTCAGAAATGCAACCAGCAACGAGGTAGTCTTTATTTTTAGAGCAAAGCTAAAGACTAACTTTCTGTGGGACTAGGGGTTGAGTAAAGGTATCAGCTCTCAGGAAAGCATATTGGCCAGTGAGAGTCTGTTGGCATCTGACAATATTGACAAGTTCTCTTATATGGAGCCAGTGTTCTTTGGTATCACATACGAAGTTTTAAGGAGCAAGATTTGGGTCAGTATAGTTTAGAATCATGGGTGACTGCTGGGCCATGTCAGCACCACTTCAAGAATTTAGATATATTCTGGGCTAGACCAGTAACATCAACTTTATTTTGGGGTTTCCCTGAGCCATTCAAAACCTAGGACATATCTTAGAGGACATCTCCATTATTACTTTTTTTTTATAGAGAAATTTTTAAAAATTTCTGGAAGCCTAATGATTAGCAGGAGTAAAAGGTTTGTGTGTGTGTGTGTGTGTGTGTGTGTGTGTGTGTGTGTGTACACAGGTATGCATGTGTGCCCACTGTATTGTCAACTTGAGTGAGTGGTAGGGTGGTGTGGGCCTGGAGGATGGAGGGGGAAGTGCAGCAGGAGCAACACAGGAATTCAGAGTATACTGATTCTCCAGACTGTACAAAGTCTGATGAGCAAGCGTGCCAGCACTGAAAGGGCCTCTAGAGTTAGGAGATAGAGAAGCTGTTCTCTGCTTATGTGCAGAAAAATCCCAGGGAAGTTTTTTTCCTGCCCCTTGGGTACATACGGATATCCTCCGGAAGGACTTGAACTCAAGGTAGGTGAGATGCTCTGACAGCTCTTCTGGTTCCAGATGGTCAAAGAGCAGGGAGACTTTCCGTTTCTTGCTGGTGTTCGATTTTATCCTCTGAGTAAGTTTTCTGGACCAGTCACGGGCATTGCTTTTGTGGTTAACCGTGAAAGAGAGAAGATGGGGGAAAAGAAATCAAGATTGCTTTTTAATGAAAGTAAATCCATTAATATTTTCCATAAGATTATACAAAGAACCATGAGCTAATTTTCCTTGGCCAAAACAATACATTAACAGAGTTTCTTCATATCAATTTTTTCTGTGGTGGCAACTATGAAACCTTGATGGTTTTCTATGAACCTTCTGAATGTGCCATGGGAACTGGGTAAATGTTTTGAAGGCCGTGGGAAGGGCAGAGTCTCAGGCATTGGTCATGGTTTCCTGGCCTTTGGTCCCCACTTCTTCATCTAGTCTCTTAGCCCTGGGCATGTCTATACTCTCCATGTCTACCGTCTGCCCCTTCATTCTCATAAGAGTGATGGGGACACTCTAGTTGGAAATCTCAAGGTAGGAGGGCAGTTTTCATGCCAGAAGAGCACAGAGAACCACACAGAAGAGAATCGTATGGCCAGGAACCTGTGGTCACTCTGGGCAGACTTGTGGTGTTTCCTCAAATGTCCCCAGCCACAGAAATGACCAAGGAAGCCTAGCCACCCCGAGAGGTTTCCCCCGCTATTGTCTTGTAATCAACCCATGTGTTTCTTATTGAGTGATTCAGTTTCAATTTCCTACACTAAGAAAGCAGAGGGAGGCAGCCATTTTGAGAGGTAGCAGGTTGTAGATCTCTTCCAAACAGGTGTTCCTGAGAATCTGTGTAACAAGGGTTTTGTGCTCAAATGAGTTTGGGAAATGCTATAAATTCTGTGGTCCCCTTGGCTAGCGAGTATATTACAGACTCTGAGGTGCACTGTAAAAGGCAAGTTCGACTCACCATTTCTCAAATATATCTGGCCAGGCAGCATCCCACTAATTCTTAAAGAAGATACTCTGAGAAATATTGGTGGAGGATAGTCATCTAGGGGCATATTGGGACAAGGAGGTTTGCATTTGAAAACTGCCATCGGGAATAGGTTCTGTGTCTTTAAAATGAGGAAACTGTTCACTTGAAAATGTTATTTTTCAAATTGTATAGTTCTAAGCAGAGAAGTACAGAAAATCCATACTGATAGATTTATTTGGGACTACAAAATGTGATTTTGAAATTCTACATTTCTATATGGCTATGACACAGTGCATTGAAAGCCCTCATAGTCTAGCTTCTGCTTTGCTACTAAGCTAGCCATATGACCCCAGATGAGTCAGACAACCTTGTTGAGCCTTGGTTTCCTAGGATGTTGGATGAAATAACCTCTAGAATTCGTTTCAGTTCTAGAATTCTATATCTTTGGGATCTGCACTATTCCAACATAAAGTGGCCACATTGTAAAAATCTTAGCGTACAATGTGTGTACTCTCCTCTCTCAAATCCAAAAAGGCACTTATTTTTCCATAGTGGGCCAACCTCATAAATAATGTGAAATATTCCTGAGATCTCTTCCAGCTCTGGAAGTCTTTTACAGAATCCACACACGTTATAAACCCTCTCTGCTCAATTCATTTTTTAGCAGTCCCTTCCCCATTTTCAGGTTCGGGAGGCCTCCGGGCATTCGCTGCCGAAGAAGCATGAATTTAGTCATCATACTTTCAGTTTCTCATGATCTGGATACATTTTAGTCAATACCTTGCTACCTGATTTCTTTTTGACTGAGACTTATATATTTTTTGCTCTTGAATATTAGTCGCCCACAGCTTTATCACCAGCGGGCTTCTCTGCTTGCTTGTTAAATGTCAAGCTTTTCACTTTGGTGAGGCAATTTGACCCTGCTTGTGTGAGGGGCTTCTCCAGGTGGTGAGAGAGCAGTGGTTACCGCTGGGAGTCAAAGCCTAGCTGAGCAGCCTGGATTGTATTTCATGAGGAGGTGGTTTTGAAAGATTTGTCAAAACCTTGACACTCACATTTGAGTTGTGTCAATCAGGCGGCAGTGTAACTCCTCACCATTAGCTTTCACCAGTTCCTGAAACTCCTCCATAGTGTCTGTCAAGCTGGCATCCATTTTGAACATGATCCAGAATTCTGTAATCCAGTACCTACAAGAGAGGAGTTAAAAAACACAGTCCAAAACTGTAGGCAAGGACTCACACTTTGGTGGGTTCTTCCCACAAAGAAGACTCAGAAAAAGAGTCTTCTATATATAGAACATAAGGAGCTGGGGAGCTGGGATGGGAGCATGGGGGAAGGGAAGAAAACAATCCATTGACAATTCTCTGCCCCTCCTTACACTAAATGCTTTGACAGGATAAGGCATATCATAATCAAAGGAGCCATGACAGAGCTTTAGGCACAATCATGTGTAACAGATAATTATAAATAACACAACTCCAGACAAACTAAATGTCCAAAGGTGGGGCAATGTACCTGTAAATTACACTTTTTCATAACTTAGAATATAACATGGCCATTGAAACATTTACAAAAATTTTAATGACTAGAAAAGAGTAATATAAAGTTAAGTTAAAACTATAGAACACAAAATTTTATATGTGTTTTGATCTCAACTATATTTAAAAAAATCTGGAAAAAAGACGAACTATAGCAAAGTAGGTAGTTGGATATGAGTGATTATTAGTATATTTTCTGTATTTTAAAAATACTAATATGAGCTTTATAACTTTTATAATTAATAAAAACAAATGATAACCTCTAAGTTATTTGATACCAAAATGCTGTAAGACTGAGGAAAACACTGGTATAAAATATTAAGCTCAGGCACACTAACAGAAGTTGACTGTGCTCTATTAAGGAATTTACAGTACTAACAACTGCCCATTCCAGTCTTCCCAGAGGTGGTTTACATACAGATGGCCAGGAAGCAAAAGGTGTGGAGGACAAGGAAAGAACTACAGTCACCTTGCTTCATTTGGCCCACTCCACAAAGTTCCAAATGCATGCAGAAACGTTACCTTACAAAATAGCAGATCTTCAGGCAAAGCCCTGGTGAATTACTTGCCAAGGCATCCTGATACGTGGGCTGTGGTTAAGGGAAATGGAAGCCTCTGTTATAGAAGCCAAATGACTTCTCATCTGTGGAAGTATTTGCTAAAACTACTGACATGACACCCAACCCCCTTCCCCCAACAAATAATTTTTTTTTTTTATTAAAATGTTTTCTCATCTCTCTGGCTATAAGAACCAACTTAATGTATGCTGCTACATGCTTATTATCACCTAGAAGGATGATGTGGTGACTATCTAACCCATGCTGAAAGGGCTTATGGAATGAGGCCACAGCATTTCCTTTGCAGGAGTAGAGCTAGGAAGTCAACTGCATTGAAGGGCCCCAGCACAGGTGACCTAAAAGAAGAAGGGACAAATGACCTCCTGCCCATGTCCAAAAGACCGAGTCCAACTGAGACAAGTTAAAAAGAGCAGCCCCTTAACTTTTAAAATCGATAAACAATTTGTGCAATGAATGAGAAGGAAAAGGAATAAATATTCAGATATACTATCATTATTAAGAATAATAATACAAAAATGCCAACATCCACATAGAGCATATAGGATATATAAATTCAGTAGGTTGACCCTGTAAGTTGTGATGGCATGACAGACAAAGCCATATGAATAGTCCAAAATACAATCACATTAAGGCTCCATACCATTCCTAAAATTCCATGGGAATGGTGCCGTCCTAAGAATATGAAAGAACGGCAAGATTCCATCAAGTTCATACGTTTCTAGAGATATATGGAAAGAACATTCATTTAAGAGTGAAAGAAATACAAAGTCCAATCTCATGGTGAATCTAGGGGGGTCCTACCATCTTCCATCAACAGACTGAGGAATCAGGCTGTGTGGGCTGTGCGCCCTGCAAGACTCTGCCCTCTTTCTCTTTTAATAATTGCCATACAGGGCTCAGTGAATTCCAGCTGGGCCCCTGAGAGGAATCCAGGGAGAAGCCAGTGGAGATGTCGATTAACTGGGGCAGGAGCAGTTTTCCTTCAGTGAGTATGCGTATTGTAACTCCTGAAAAACTGAGAATTAAAAATAGCAAAAGTCCCCATCATATTATTGATTTTTTTTATTAGGAAGGAATCTGTGCATTTTGAGATTTTTATATGCCTGTAGTATTTAAGAGCATATTAGAATGATAGCTTTGAAACTGCAATTCAGAATATATAATTAAGTGCTTTAGACCTGTGGTTTTAAATTGAAATCTTATTAAGTTTATGCATAACTTTGGAACATCTAAGATAATGTTAGCTTTACTGCTTATAACTTTAATCTACTAGAGTTATAAAAACTATTTAGAACTCAGGAAGGCCTCTGAAGTATTTAAAAATAATCTAAAATGTAAAAGTCTTAATTGTAGTTTAAAACCATTGGAAGTATTTAATTAATTAGCATTCTCCAAATTAACAAAACATTTTTGAAGTCCCCTTAAAAATGGTGGAACATGCAAGACTTATAGAAAGAATAATAAGATTTGCAAGCTAAACTTGAACCCCTAAAGAAAAATTGTGGTTGTGCAATTTGTACTTCTAATAAAATGACTTTATTTTCAAAAACCTAAATTTTAATAAATTTACTGCCCATACAATCTGACCTGGAGGGCACTAAAACAAAACCAAATCAAAAACACAAAACCATGCACACATCAACAAAGCAATCAAAATAAAAATAAGCCCAGGCAACTAGCAGACTTCATGAAGTAACAGGTTCTGACACCTGCCTTTGGGTATAAAAGGTAGGAGTGAGGATGAGAAGGACCTTACATGTCTTTATGCCACGTCCCTAAGAAAATGCATCCCTGCAATCCAAAGAGATTCAGCATAAAGGTACGTTCCAGATAAATATGTCTTAGAGTTTATACTTTTATCATTTGATCTGCTTGTTGAAATTTTTGTTCTCTTTTTTAATGATGAAAGCACAAAAAATACATTTCTCTTTTAAAACAACTAACTGGCATATAAATCAACATGGTGCCTTTTACTGTGGAGTTTATCTTCCTCCTGGTGGTTCCTTATCCTTCTCTTCAAACCTCCCTTCTGGCAGCACAGGGTGACTGCATGTGAGGCGGGATCTATGTAAATCCTGTGGGTCTACATTGGAGTGCTGAGCCTGCAGGGCAGGCAGAATGCCAGTCAGAAGGGCAGAGCCTCCTAAGGTCATGCGAGCCCCTATGCCATAGCAAAGGCAGCCAGAAATCAGGCTGCTCACTTGAAGAGATGAAGCCAGCACTCATAACAGGCCAGTAATAAGAGGCTCAGGCATCTCCCGACCTGAGAAAAGGCCTTGTGGCTAGAAGTTTAGGCTCCACACCTTTTCTCTCGCTTTGCAGCTGGTCCTGTGACTGTAAAATATCAGGTCAGTTCTGACTGCAGTTTTCGGGCATCTGAACTATTCAAAGCATGTTTTCAAATTACTCCAACAGTGGAAAACCAGAAAACCTTCTGAGCTTATTTAACAATTCTGTTACTCCCAAGACAGAACAGAGAAACTAAGTGTGAAAAAAAAAAAATCGTCTTGCCTTCAGTGTTTAAGTTGGGTTTCAGTGATAGAGTCTTGCTCATATGCCCTTCTTGGAATCCCTTCCCCCTACACAGACCTGAGCAAAGCCCAGATTCCTCACCTCAAAGTCCTGATGGATACAGAAAAAGTATCTGAGTGTTTTGCACCCACAATAATACAACATTCATTGTGTCCTACCATGAGATGACCACTAAGCTAAGTTCTAGAGAAACAGAGATAGATAATAAGCCTGGGTTTCTGCCCTTGAGGGACAGTCTAGTGGGGAGGATATGTAAAAAGGTAATTTACAATATGGTACATGTATTTTTAAATATATGCTAAAAATAGATTTTTTCTTAAAGTAACTCGTAATTTAATTAATTTTTCAGTACCCTTGCAAAACTAGACACACATGTTTTGCAGTTTACTTATAATAGTCATCTATAAAGACCAGAGTATATAGCTATAACATTTCAAAACTTACAGACTGGAGTTTAGGTAGATCAATTTATTTAGCTAACAGAGTTAAAGTACTTCACACCTTCTGCAATCATAGATGAAAAGCTTTTCAAAGGGGATTACAACCGGGCCCGGGACGTGAGAGACATGACTTAAGCCATACAAAACTAAAGCCATAGGAATTAAAGATTTTCAATCCATAATACTATTTTAAAACACCAGATGTATTTTTTTTAAAGGAGGGGGTTGGAAAGGTCAGGAAAGACTTCACAGAGGGTCTTGAAAGAGTTTGCTAGGCAAAGGGAGGAGAAGGTGCAGGAACTGTAAGGGGATCCAGTACAGTCCAGTGCATTGAGAAGTTCGGCGTGGAGGGAAAGGGGTTCTGAGAGCTGCAGGACGCAGCAGGAGAGACACACCAGGGTCCGACTGTGGAGGGCCACTTCCTGGCAACTGACATTATCCTTGTAGTGCAGAGGCTCTGAAGCAATGACCTACCTACCTGATTTGTCTTAGGAAAGTAACCTCAGAAGTAGATAATGAACCGGAGGGGGAGGCACGTATGGGACAGAGGCCTAGGAGACCATGGGGGCCCGAATGAATGCAGTGGCATGGGAACAGGGAGAAGAGGCCAGATAAGAGTCGAGACTGCTTCTGATGTTTCTGATTTAGGCAATTGAATGGGTAATGACACCATTAACTGAAAGTGAAAATGAAAATACAGATGTCAAAGCAAAACTAATGGGGTAGTAGCTGGGGTGGGGAGGTGGTGAGTTAATGAGTTAAGCTTTGAATATATTAAGATTCAAGTGTCTGCAGGACAAACTAGCATAAACATTTTTTAAAAAATGGTTTGGGTTAGAGAAATACAGACTCGAAAGTCATCGGCACAGAGGAATGGCAGTGACAATGCTGGTGAGAAATCACCCAGGGAAGGAAGTAGAGCGAGGTAGAAACAGGATGTTATCCTTGTATTTTAGAGGTACTCGAAGAAGATGCTAGATGAAAAGGTAGAGGAGAGATGGCCCAGGAGGAAGGAGAGCCAGGAAGGTACAATTCCGGGAGCCCTGGAGGGAGAGTCTGCAGAGCAAGGGCTTGTCAATGATGCCCGGTGCTTCTGGGAGGTCAGCATGAACAGGGATGGAAAAAAAGCCATTGGTCTTGGCAATCAGGAGGTCACTGGTGACATCAGAGGAAAGTCTGAGTTACAGGAGTGCAGGCCACAGTTGAATTAAGGAGTGAGTGGGAGTTGAGAGACTGGAGATACTGAGTGTAGGCTATTTTAAGAAGTTTGCACATCAAATTTCTAACCCTAACAATGAAGTGAAGAGGAGGCAAGGTTGAGAGTTTATTTTTAGGCTGGGGAGACTTGAATGTGTTTTAGGCTGAGGGGCAGGTGCCATCGAAGAGTTAGAGTTTAAAAGTATAGGAGAGATGGGAGACAACTGATGGGCTAAGATTCTGTGAGAAGTGGGAGGGAGAAAGGGGATGGATGGGTTCACCATGTGGGCAAGCAGCTGGCGGTGTACCAAGGGCAGGCACCCCAGGTACAATTTAGTCCTTAGATCAACAAACAATTTTTCCAGTGAGAAGTATTTAATCCCTGCCATTGTTTAGAATTGCTGGTACATCAAGTTAATAAAAAGCAGATAGACTTTGAGTCAGTTTTATTATGGTTTTAAAATTCTCTGCCAATGAGACACCCACTTATTACCTGCACCTCTAATGACGTGGACCTCTACCAATGCTCTGCCCTTGGAATGCCACCGGAAACACCTCCTTTGAGATAAGAGGTAAAGATTTATAAGTAGGTTTAGAGAAAAGATTCAGGCCCGGGGGCTTTTATTTTTATCAGTGTGCCAGAAGATGAAAAGGGAGAGATCTGGGAGAGTGGTAAAAGATTAGAAGAGCCACAAGTCATGACTCAGTGCCAAGGACCTGGGCTTCAGGTGCTAAACAGTCTCACCCCACCTACAGCCCTTTCTCTTAGAGGGTCACAGTTTACAGTGTCATCAACGAGAGAGAGAAGGCAAGTACTTTCTCCACCCCACTCAGTTCACACCCCATAAGGAGGTTAAAATCCAGTAGTGTTTGCTGCCTGAAGCTAACAGGCATCAGCAGACTCTCCAGATGCTATGGCATTAGGAAGCTTTTTTCAGAACCTGAGGAAGATTGCAGAATTGGATGGGAAAGCCAGAATGCAGTTCATCATTTGAATCATGCTTGCATGCTTGTCAATTTGCACAGGATAGATATGAATTTTGGCTATTCTATGTGAAAGCTATTTTTCCTAGCCACAGGCACTGAAGAAGACTGTTTCCATGTTGATTTCTTTGACTACTGCCCAGAGCAATCGGCATCAATAATATTGTCCCTCCCAACAGAAGACACACACACACGTACATACCTATGTACACACACACGCACCGCATACCCTGAAAGGACATATGAACCCATTTACCAGGGTTATTCCGCACGTACATACCTATGTACACACACACGCACCGCATGCCCTGAAAGGACATATGAACCCATTTACCACTCAGGGTTATTCCAAATTAACCAAAATGAAAGCACACTTCAAACTTCAACATACTTCAGAAGGAATCCCATTTGGGGATTTCCAGTCATTGCTAAAAGGATATAAGGTGACAACTTTTTGGAGCAGTTCAGCAGAGGAAATGATAATTCGGTGCATGGTCAGCATGACTTGCAACAGTTGGTTACTTCGACACAGGTTGCCATCTGCATCTGAAAACATAAAGAACAACATCTGAGCGAGTCCCCTGCAGTGAGAAATCAGTCACCTGGTGGAGCCCCTGACAACCCTCCATTACTCAAGGGTACATGGCCAGACTGTGGGTTCTTCAGGCACCGTGCTTTTCTCCCACTGCCTGTAGCACCATACATCCCTCCCTTTTTGCTTTTATCTTCCTGTTGAATTCTCCTCTTCCCAAAATGTCCATTCTGATGCTCACTAATCACCCCACCTGAAAAATGGTAGAATCTTGGGAAAGGGATAAAATTTGCAACGGTACACTTGAGTCTCTGTTGAAAGCACGAGCAGATTCAGGTTTTGTGAGGCCTAAAGTATACATAATGGCCAGGGTTCAGGAGGTTCTTTCTGGAGTCAGAGTAAAAACGGTTATGGTCTTACTAGATTACCTAACTTTTGCAAGTTTTACAGAAACATATGACCATCTGAATATACTTCAGGGGCTCTCCCATGGCCTTGGAGAGTCCCTGAAACATAAACGTCCCTAGTTTTATGGGCAGTATGCCTCTGGATGAAAGTAGAGGAGGAAGACGATGGGCAAACATTAGATTTGTAGATGACGGGTGGGTTATAAGTATTCATGATGATTTGTATCAAAGGGCATGGTTAGCTAGGTTTTCTAAATCCCAGCTGGTGGCAAATAATAAGACGCATTCTATATATTGGCATTGGGTATAAAGATATCCCTTAAAGTAGTTTTCAAAATCTTTTCAACAGCTACAGCATGAAGTATGAGGAGCTTGCTGGTTATTCGCTGGCAGATCTAGTCTCCGTCCTTCCCGTGGACTGCATCGCCATTGCCAGCCGGCTTCCAGCTGGGTTCAGCCATTGGGAGGCATCGGCACGAGATGAGAGAGATGAGAGAGCGAAGTCAGGATATTTCTTTCTCATTCCCTCTCTGCTTTCGTGCCACTTCCCTGTTAGTAGCTACAGGTCTCTTTGATGAGAGATCACACTGGTCGGCCTCTCTTTCATGACTCCAGCTCTCACTGGGATCTGATACTTCTCATCTCCCTTGGCCCTGTGTCCCTGAGGGTGGCAATGACTTCTGGCTGCTGACAGTCCCTAGGTGCAGCGCTCTTAATTCCACTCTCATCTCTGTATACAGTTCCATCAGTAAAGTGTCTTCATTTAAACAAACTACGTGAATTCTATTCCCTGCTGGGAACTTGAATAATTCAGGGTAAAATACCAAATGAAAGAATAAAATATGAATTGCTTTATCATTTGATAGCTCTTTAAAATATACTGTATAAAAGGTGTTGTCATTTTCATTTTTTTCCAAGTGTACCAAATGATAAATGAAGGACACAGTGCATTTGGGCTCAGGATTGAGAAGTCCTAGCTCATTCTCCAAGGATGACCTAAAATCATAGTTCACTGAGAAAATGTAAGTAAACTGACAGGATCACTCACCTTCCCATCACCAAACCCACCAATTCATCTGCACTCTATTACTCTTACTGCCTGCCTTCCCATTTCCACGGAAGGCCTCAAAGAGGCTAACGCTTCCACTGTGCTCTGGGTCTCTGCCTTTCTCAAGGACTTTTACCCTGCCTTTGTCCACTTTCTCTCCTGCATTGTCCACTTTTCTCTGTCTCTCCTGGATTACTTCCATTGGCATTTGGACATGCCCCAGAATCTCCTGTATAAAATGAAATGAAATAAAACCTCAAACTATCCTCCTCTCTAGCTACCTCTCTGTTTCTCTATTCTTTTTGGTAAAACCTCACTGTCATCAATTTCTCACCTCCCATTCATTTTCAGCCATTCTGGTTTGACTTCTAACTCTATTATTCCACTACACATTTTATTTTCAAGGTCACCAAGCAGCTCCACATTGCCAAATCCAGTAGTTTATGCCTCTGTCCTCATCTTACTTTATGACTCAAGTTGCAGGCGACTCAACCCACGTCGACAACTCTCTCTTTCCTGGAACACTTTCTTCTCTTGGCTTCCATAACATCACACTCTCTTAGCTTCTCTCTCAAAGCTCTTCTTCTGTCTCCTCTTCCTCTGCTGAGCTTTTAAATGTCACCATGCTCTGTGGCTTATTCCTCCCACTTCTTTTTTTCTAACAATTTAAAAAAATTTAAAACTTCTTAAATTTGACATTAAAAAAATATAACTTCTTTTTTTCCTAAGTGAACTCATCTAGTCATTCAGCGAAAATACTATCTGTAACTGCCCAACTTGCATCTTCCTCCCTGAGTACCAGATTAGTATGTCCAACATCCTACTTGGCAAATCCACTCAGATGTGTAATTTCAAACTTAACCCATCCAAATAAAACTCTTGACCTCTCCCTCCCCTATTTCATCCTTCCTCCACTCTTCCACATCTTGGAAAATGGTACCACCAACCATCCTCTCAGTCACCCAAACAAAAACCTACAGGTCACCCTTCTTTTCACTTTCTCTCTCATCCAATCCATCAGCAAGTCTTGATTCTACCTTCAAACTATATCACAAACCTGTCCATTTCTCTCCATCACACTAGTTATAGCCATGACCACAATGCAGTACCCTAACTGACCTCCCTGCTTCCACTCTTGTCCACCTACAGTCCATTCTTTACACAGAAGCCAGGAGCAAGTGAGCTCCTAAAATTTATACAACAGGTCATGTGCTTAATACGTTTTCATGGATTCCATGATACTTGTAATAAAACACAAACTCCCTACTATGGCCAACGGATCGCCACATGTTCTGGCCCCCTTTAATATTTCCCATTTCATTTCATACCATATCACTTCTCTCCACACTTCTATTTATGCCTCAAACTCTCCTACCTCCTGGCCTTTGCATTTGTTCTTTCAATGTGGTCTTTCTTCCTTTGGCCCATTTATGTCATTTAGGTCTCGGTTTCAATGTTGCAACCTAAGAAAGGTCTTCCTTAAACCACCTGAGGTAGCTATTTCCCTACCTGAGTTTCTTCATATTACATATCATGATCTGAAGTTATCTTTTTAATTTAATTTTTCTTTTCTGAGTCTCCACTAGAATATAAGCTTCATGAGACCTGAGTCTTGTCCTGTTTCCCGCCCAGCCCCCCTCAATGAGCTTCTCTCTCCAGGGCCTAGAACAGTGCTGAAACATGGTAGGCATTCATTAAACATTTGTTGAGTAAATGAATGGACTGTAGCAAATAGAAGACCCCTTAACTTTTCATGTGCCTTTGGATATTGAGTTTAAGCATTAGCTATTTCATCGATGATATATAACATACATACTTATTTTCTTCTTGGCTACAGTTTACAAAGGAAACTCGAGTTACAACTTGACAAATCATTTTTATAAACAGTACTCAGCTAGCCTACTTATAGTTTTGTAAATCTTTCATTAAATTCTTCTAAACTTATACTCTGGTGAGGTAGGGTTAGTATTGCTATCTCTGTTTTCTGGCCCACACAATTTCTATAATCTCTTACCACAAAAATTTTGCATAACAAGCTACCGCAAAACTCATTTATTTTTTTTCTCTAGTGCCTGAGGCTTGGCTAGGGGTTGGCTGATGTAGGCTGGGCTTTGCTGGGGGCCATGCTCCACACACCTCCAGCTTCCTTGGATCAGTGGGCTAGCTGAGATATGTTCACTTGTGGTGATGGCGAGGCACCAAAGGTCAACTGGAAATATTCAAGGCATCTTAAGCCTAGGCTTGGAACTGGCATGCTGTCACTTCTGGCTTATTCTGTTGGCCAAAGCAAGCCACACTGCTGCATATCCAGTCAAAGTGGAAAAGTTTACTGACACAGAGGAGGTTAAAAATTGAGAGTGGGAAATAATTCAATCAAATCTACTGCAATTACGGGGAGGTCACTTTTCAATTCAGCATCTGAACATAGTTTTTATAATGCAGCTTGCCTCACAGAGGTAGTAGTGTTCATATTCCTATACCCTACTGTAAAACGTGGGAGAAACTGTGAAATATATTTGTAGGGTATGCAACAGAATGTTCAAAGGAGCTATGGACACAGTTGCAGGCTTATTTAGTATGGACAGAATCTCAGACTTGTGATTTCGACACTTTGTGGCTGGCTAGCATCTTCCCATGGATGCTCATATATTAGGGAAAGGGTCTTAGAAGC